CGGGAGAGTTCGAACCGCACACCGACACGCATCGGGCCCGGAGATTGCGAGTCGGGGACGTCGACGAACAACGGGGCAATATCTTTTTAACGGCGCGCACGTGAGATCCTTCCGATGGTACCCCTGTTACCGATATCAGCATTTTTGGGATGGAACCTCCTGTTGCTGGGTTCAGTTATTTCGGACTGGTCGGAAATTTTAACGATTTATCCGACAAGACTTCTGCTACATAACTTGTCGAGAATAATTCACAGATTACCTAGATTCTTTTTAACCCCCTGATATATTATGATGTATTTGTCTGGTGCGTTTAATTACAGTTACACTATTAAAACAGACAAAGAATATTGAAATTTTATTATGCAAATTGGAATCCTTCTCCAAATTGAAGCATATTAAACATTCCAATATAATTGATCACCAGTTACGAGTGCATCAGATTCCTCAAAATAAAGCAAGGGGTTAAGGAGCGATCAGAGAACATCCATAACGATTTTCAAACGACCACCCTCCAATATTCCGCGCGAGTTGTTCGAGGATCCTACGCGTTCGACGTACGACTCGATATTTCAACTCCCGAAGTATTTATGTTGGCTACAAAAGCCGTGGCGAGCCGAACGTTTTCGAGGATCCTTCTTTTGCCTTTTTATCTCGGGGAGCAAAGGCGAACGACGCGACGTCTCGCCGTAGGCGTGCAGACTCAGGAGACGTTCATCGTTGGGCCTTACATGGAACTCGTCTGAGTCACTGACCAAACTGGACTATGTAAATGCGTTCGGCAAGCTTCGAGAACTGGTCGTCTGTTTACCGCGTTAAATCTTTCAAGTTGCTTTTTTTCTTCAAGACCCTCGCTGAGACTGGCGAGATTATACGCGAACTAGACTTTTCCTGTAAATCCATCAAAATTAGACTGTTGCGGAAGCTTGTTAAATGTCGCTACTCGTTTAAGTTTTTTAACATGTAAACTGAACATTGCTGGTTAAGTTAAAAGAAAGAGTAATCTACCTATCATAACATTTGTCGACTCGTTTAAGTTTTTTAACGTGTTAAATGAACATTGCTAGTTAAGTTAAAAGAAGGAGTAATCTACCTATCATAACATTTGTCGACTTGCAATCAGAATCGATTGAATGAAGATTGTTATGATCTAATTGAGAATCGATACCCGAGCGAAGAACTCGTGATTTACGACGTACTCGATCAGTGATCAATTATCGTACCGGTAAAGGAAAGCTTTCGGGTCAACGAAACCGAGACACGTCGCGCCAAGCAGAAGGTACGAGTACGTTTATTCAATCTAAACAGCCTTGGGCCTTATGGTCGGTCCGAGGCCAGACAAACGGATGTCTGCTTCTCGTGCACGCAGACCGCAACACCGTCTTCGTGGCTGTTCGTGCCTTTTCGTACAAGATCGTGCAGACTTGGACGAGTAGCTATTGCTAAGCGTCCAGGTGAAAGTGTCCAAAGGTTTCGTAACGAACCACCAATACCGATTACGTTCGCGAGCAGAGAAATCGATTTCGTTACGATCTGCTTCCGACTTAATTGCACTTCGGATCGCTTGCCTCGCGAAAATTCGCCGACTGAAATCGCGCGGAATGCGCTTCCGGTGTTTCCAGGAATTAAGGAAGCACCCCGTTATTTTTTCGATCCGCGGTGAAGAAACGCAGAGTGATTAGGCAACGTTAATCGCAGCGTAAAGGGGTTTTTAGTCAAGTTCGAATAACCGCGATGAGCAACGGCAGGAAGCGATGGGGAACGTGTCGCGTGGATGATCGCGATCGCTACTGACGCTATTAATCTTGTCGGTGGATCGTTTTGCGGAAGCGACAACTTCCACGGAACTTCGGCCTCATTAGAAAGCCTTCGCGCCGTTCTTCTTCCTCCGGGATCAGTGTGGATGCTAATTATAAAGCGTGGAATAATGAAATCATCTTACCGCGCGCGTTACTCGCGAACGCGTTGACTTCCTTGAGAACTTTTTCGCTCGGTTTCGAGACGCTTTTATTAGCAAGCGGGACAACGAATTCCAACGAATTATCTTCGTGGGATTAGTCGACCGAAGTTATTAAGACAAATTGTTCACTAATCGTCTCGACCTCCCACCTATCTCGAATTGCTTAATCGATCTCGTTCTTCCGTTTTTAATCGACTCGGAGAGACACGAAGGCAAACAAAAGAGTAATGGAAGCGTTGAATGTATATTTTACAAAAATAAATACACGACGTTCAACGTCCTCTCCTGCTGCTAAACACAACCTATTTACAACCACGATCCAGGCCGCGACGTCGGCTACATTCCTATTTACATTAATCGGGCAAGAATCGTGAAAAATACTAGTAACGACGTCGCGACGCTCTTTTCTTCTCCCGTCACGCTAGAATGCCAAAGGACACAGCGATTAGAATCAGGAACGCGTTCACCGTGAACCTCGTCGACGAGTCGACCACGTGCTGAGTTAAAATCTGACACTGGGAACTTCGAAAGTGTTTCACGTTCCCCTCGGAGTCCCTCGCGAGAACGCACAGCTCGTACTTGCTCCTGGAATCCTGCAGGTCTTGAATCTTGAAAGACCTCTCGCTGTAAACGAGATCCTTTTCGATGGCCGACTTGCTGTTTCCAGTTTCTCGCACCACAACGTAGAAATCACCGATGTCTTCTCTCGACGTCACGTACCACGTCGCCTTCCAGCTCTTGTCCTCTTCGTTACTAAAAAAACGTAATGTTCGTTAACGGTTATCGATGTTAGGTCGTTAAAGGATTCCAGACACGTACTACTCGATGTTCCGATACTTCACGTCCGGAGTTATATCGAATTCCGGATACTCCTTGACCTCCCTGTCTCCGCAGTTCATCAAATCTTCGGTGACTTCGGATATTCGTTTGCTCGCGAGAAAGTTAGGCGTCTCGCACGTTACGTTCATCCACTCCTTCGGTGTCTCCGTGTAGGTGTTGAGCCACCTCTTCAGAGGCCGCACGTAGCAATCGCAGTGCAATGGATTCCCTAGAAAATTGATTTCGTGAAGCACCTCCCTCTCGAGTGAGTGTTAACTGTCGACTCTCTTTGTTACCGGAATACCGAAGTATCGTGCCGTTCTTTATAATCTTCATAAAAACGTCGTCGAAGACGCCGATCTCGTTGAACTCCAAGTCGAGAATCTTCAGGTTCGGTAACGGTACAATTTTTTTTAGGGGAACATGGGACAAATGGTTATGACTCAAGTATAGATTAGTCAGATTCGTAGGCGGGTCGAAAATATCCGGCTCGGAAAGGTCGCTGATGTCGTTGTAGGACAGGTCCAACGTTTTTATGGCTGTCAGATTTCCAATCACGTCTGCGTTTGGAAAAAAAGAATAAGAAGGTGAAAGATTTAAGACACTAGACTTACTTACATCTTCGGATCTCGTTAACGTTATTGTGACTGATGTTCAAGTGCTGAACCTTCTTTGCTCCTACGGTGAGTTCATACGTCAACACGGGCATAGTGTTGTACGACAGATCGATTTCTCGTAATCGGTAAGGAATCCACGGATCGTTGGGGAAGGTCTTCTTCGTAACGAACGAGATCTTATTGTGACTGAGATTGACTCTCTCAAGAGACAGACAATCGTCCAACAGCCCATGAGTTTTGTTGTCCAATCTTTCCAGCATGTTATGAGAAAGATCTAGTGTCCTCAGCGACACGAGACCTTGGAATGCTCCGTTTGGAATGTGAGCAAGTTCGTTGTTGGTCAAATTCAGCGTCAACAGTTGCAACAACCCTTCGAACGCTCGAGTGCTCACGTTTCGTATTCGATTGTTAGCCAGATTCAATTCAAACACTATCGGAAGACGTCCAAACGCAGCCTTACTCAGTTCGGTCAATTGATTATCCTGAAATCGTTATTTCTATAATTTCCTTACGTTCGAGAACATCGCTATAATTGTTCGCAAAGTTCAACCTGCATATAGAGATACTGCAAGCTGGTCAGAGTGCTGAGCGCTTCCCAAGGTGGCTTGGTGATGTTGTTCGACCGCAAGTTCAAACTTCTCAAGGTTAACAGGCTTTCAAAACTCCCGCGCTGAAGATTATCCCCCAATCGATTGCCGGACAGGTCCAAAGAAAGCAGAGCGTTCATCGAAGGCCACACGTCCATAGTAGGTATCTCTTCCAGCAAGTTTTCAGAGAAATCCAACGAACCCAAGGAAATTGGTAGCTGAAAGATCTTCGTCAGTCGGTTGTTCCTCACCGTCAGACTCCTGCGATGCAACACAATTTTAATCGAGTTCTTCTCCGAAAACTAAACTCTAAACGTTCGAATCACCTGCAGCTCGGTAATCTGGTCAAACTGCTACGAGCAACGTCGTTCAATACATTGTAACTCAGGTCTAAGTCCAACAACGTCGGTAACGGACCAAACGTGGAGGGTTTGATTTTCTCCAACGAGTTGTGCGACAAGTTTAAATAACGGAGACTGAACAGAGTCTGAAAGACCGCGTTGTGTATTTCGGACAGGTTGTTGTACGAGAGGTCGATCGTGTGGAGCTCGTACAATTTCGGGAACGTCTGACGAGGGACCGACTGTATCAAATTGTGGGACACGTTGAGGACTTTCATGCCGGTCATGTTGTGCAGCGGCACCTGCAATTATTATTGCGAGGTTATTATCACGAGGTTCTTACTGGTCCATCGTTTTACTGAGCGTTCACCTGTATGAGCGAGGTGAATTGGTTGTAACTCAATTGCAGTTCCGTGGCATAGGTCGTACTGTCGAACGAGTACTTGGAAATATTCGACAGTTTATTGTAGCTCAAATCCAGAACAGTCATGTTCACGCAGTTCTCAAAGGCCCCTGGCTCTATGTTCGAAATCTCGTTGCGCGACAAATTGATTTTTGTCAAATATAAATCCTTGAAAGACAACTTTTCTACGACCGTCACAAAATTTTCAGAGACGTCCAGCGACTATAAAAGAAAGAAAAGAGTTTCGAGAATTCCTTCGAACGTCGAGGAGTTTGTACCTCTATGAACTGAAGTTGATTAAACATTTGGAAGTCGATTTTTTTAATGAAGTTCCTGGCGAGATCGATGACGAGTATCCTCGTGATGGGTCCGAAGGTTCCTCTTCCCACGTCGTTGATCTGATTGTCGCTCAAATACAATCCCGCCAAGAAACGCATACCGCGGAAGGTGTTGGAGTCGAGTTTCCTGATCTTGTTGTGTTTCAGATTCAGTACCTTCAGCAGAGAATTTCTCGCGAATGTTCCCCTGCGAAGACAGATACGAATCGATACGATTCAACGAATGCTAATTAATGCTCTTACCTCTTCAAATCCGCGATCGCATTGTGAGACAAATTGCACCAACCCATTTTCGTGAGATCAGCCAAGTGAGAACCATCCAGTTTGTTGATCAAATTGTGGGATAGATCCAAGTACTCTGTATCTCTCAGACCTTTAAATTGATTCTTCTTCAACTCTTTGATCTCGTTTTTGTGAAGATCCAGTCTCTTCAATTTCTTCAGAGGCATTAACGCCTCCACGGGCAGGGACGAAAGAGTCCCTATAAAAACGTAGAAAGTTAGAAATCTTCCACTTCCATCCTTTCGCGAAGACCACCGTACCGTTGGTAATTTCGAGTTTCTCGATTTTTGCGGCTGCTGCGCTATCGGTGAAACTGTCCGCCGGCAAAGTGGAAATTCGATGGCCAGCGATGCTGAGGATACTGAGATTCCCCAAAATTTGCAGCGCCTGTCGCGGGAATACCTCCAAGGTACTGTTTATGACGTAAAGTTCTTGCAGCGTTCTGTTGACGCCCAAGAAGCTGTGCTCTTCGATCAGTCTGAGCGGAGTGTCTATAAACTTTAGCACTCGAACGTCCAGGGAGTACAGTGCCGGTCCGTAGAAACGTCCTTCGATAAATATAGTCTTTTTGGAAATCCGCTAGAGTCGAAGTGACCGATCCTGTATTTGGCGGTACAGGAAACTTACCTATGTTACATTTGTAGAGAACGAGTTCCTCGATGGGCATACCCTCGTTACCCAGATTCGAGAAGGCCAAGCTCAAGCTCGCCAGATTGGTGTTCTCGCAGCGAACATAGAGACCCTTGTCGCTGCCGCGAACGCAGACGCACGGAAAGATGTACTTGGGTTCCTTGGGACACCTGAACCGTGGTCCGGATGGGACGTATCCACCCATCGCGGACAGGGCCAGAAACAACCATAATAACGGGAAGCGTATCATCGTCTGTGCAACGAACAATGGGATCGTTTCAATTAACGTTTTGAACAAAGTTCCCTCGATGGAAACGTTAGCTGGAACAATCGCTTAAACTTGCTAGAAGTTTGATTAGTCACCAGTACCTGTTGTAATCACGAAACGTGAGAAAGTTTTCCCCGCGGTCGGTTGATCCGCGTTAGATTCGCGTTCCGATAACGCGCTTATAGATACACGAGCCAATTAAAAATTTCCCTCGATTCGAAACGTGACCTTACGGCCAAACACTTTTTCCATTCTCCTGGCAAAACGATCCAAAACTGGTAGGCTACCGAGCTAAAAACTGGTAGTCTTTTCCCTTGTCCACAAGACGCATCCTACGCGAGTAAAACGGAGAATTTGGTGGGCGTAACGTTGATATCGAGGCGCGACTAATTCGTTCGCGGACCGGCGGTCGCCGCGGAGACGCAAGCAGAAACAAAGAAGTCATAAAGAGACGAATGACCTCGTCTGCTACTTCTTTGCCGCACCACGTTTACGGGGAATTGCGTGCAAGCACTGTTATCTTCCGTGTATCTGTTTAAGCGACTCCGGCTGACAATTCTGCCTCCGATCGGAGATAAATCGATTCGCACGTAGAATAATGCTTTGGAACGGGGACTCGTAATTTACACGGGGTAACGAATTCATTGAATTTCAATAAGTTTAGATCAAAACGGGACCGTTAGATCGTGGGCACGAAGATCCTCGAAAGAAAAAGCGTGGGTTACCCAAGAAAAATATTTCGATCGATGCGTAAATCGGCCTTCGTAAACGGGTCAACACGTTGGAAGATTAAAATGAAGATTTCGAGAAGAACCGCGAAGCGTCGAACGTTCGCGGAGGCCCACTGACCTGAGAAACAACGAACAGGCTTTATTACGGTTCCAGTAATCTAGTAATTCAACGAGCGAGAAGGTAAAAAGAAAAGCGTGGTGATCTAGTTTCGCCGTTCGTTTATGCAACGTCTGAAACGTTATACGAGCCTTTCATGACAGACACTCGTAAATACGTCGTTTAACGAACGAACGACTTTCTGGAAAGTATTAGGAATTTTTTAATGAAATTACACAATGCATCAGAGTATTAATACGTTGTGTAACCGGAGACGACAGAGCGTAATATAGAATCATACGTGTAATGAAAACACCGAGTCCTTTCACTTATTTTGAGCCGACCTTAACGGTGCCGCGACGAAAGCAGTGAACCGAATCACTAGGATTTCAAGCTCGTGTCGAAAAAATACTGTTGCACCGGTTCTATTGACGTAACTTCGCCTTTGATACCCGGTATTTCTCGTCGCCCTGTTACGAGGCAGGAGAAATCCAGCGAAAACTATCGAAAGTTCAGCGGAACAAACTTTAAACAGAAAGAATAATTATCTAGACTCGTGAGAAATATCCGGAGAAAACAATAATCGATGCGCGAAGAAAATGAAGAATAAACCACGCTCCACTTTTCGTGGCCAATTAATATTGTCGCTACACCGTGGCAAGGGAAAGCTCGAAATATCTAGAATAATGTCAATCGTTGCATTAAATTCATTTTTGCAACATCAGAAAGAAACAAGTCTTTTCGAGCAGGATGCAGTTTTGCTTCTTTTTTCGTCTCGAATATTTCGTTTCACCAGATGTCCTTGCTTTCTGCCGGGTTGCATTAGAAAGAATGAGATATTTTTCGAAAGTGATCGCCATGCTTTGCAATTGAATAAACTTTATGACATCGAATCGTGTTTAGAAATTTTCTTAACCTGGAAGAGAAGAAAGTAACGATAACAACGTGTTTACCAGTTTGAGAAGAAGTAAACTGTTTCTCCGCGCATTGAAATCACCACTCACGGCTAGCAGATGACGCACGAACGCACGTGGAACGGTGACACAAAGTTCGATCACGTTTCTACTTAAATTTTCCAAAACTTTACCAACAATTTTTTACGTTTCTTTAATTGTCGTGCGACCAACAAAAACTTCTGTAATAAAAAAGTATGGATGACGTATTTAAATAAAGTACCTTGTTATTGCACTTCGAGAACGATTCTGAAAGCACGATGACAGTCGGTGGATTTAATAGCAACTTAGTCTTCGAGTCACATATTCGACGTTCGTCCAATTCGTATTTCCTGTACGTCGTACAGACGATGTCAAAAATAGGAGAGGATAAAGAGTGAGAAATGTTTCACGCTGAAGTTTCACCACGTTTCTGTTTTCGAGACATTCTGCGAGTGGTTCCTGGATGAGGCTGCCGTGAAAACTGAGCCGTTGGAGCTAAAGAGAAAGGCAGCTTGAGAAGCGAGGCCTCCCTCATTGGCAGTTGATATGCTGTCCTTTCGTGGACACGCGACTCTCTGACTCTAAACCAAGAATATCTCTAACAGACGGGGACTTTAAGGTTGCGCTTCATTGGTTCATTGGCTCTCAGGGACGTATCGCAGCTCGAGTTTCGGTTCTCGTGACACTTTCTGATTACCTATTTTCCCTAAACTACCGTCGCTATTTCAAAAATAATTATATTGTGATATTTTTCTTTGTCGATAAAGGTTTAAAGACGCGCTAACGACGGAAGAAAGTTAACGAGGTCGCTATTGGACGCATGTGAAAGTTAGAACGTTACCTGCCTTTTTCGGGCACCAGAGACATCTATTGGTGCCTGGTAATAATCTTGCCGAGATTTCCGATCGATCTTATCGTTCAACCGATTCGAAACAGATTATTTTGACTTCACAAAAATTTACTAGTAAAGCGTAAGACTTTCTGCTGCCGGATGTCTCAGTTAACCATCGTTTAGATAAATGTTACGCTTTTCGGGAAATTACACGCTCGTTAAGGTCGATAAATGGCTCGGTTCAAACGCCGAGTGTCAGTGAGGCTACATCAGCCGAGTAACGCTGTACAAAACTCAAAGTAAATCAGAATTTTCAAGATCATGATTTCCTTCGTGCTGCTTCTTCCGCTTCGTAAGTAAAAAGAGTATCAGATCTTCCTCGAACGATAACACAACTCTGTTTTACAGAACTCGTTACAGTCACCGCTTTACCTACTCTTGGTTACGTTGTAAGAATCATTCTTTGAAAATTCTCATTTCAATCGTTTAAACAATTTATTCGAGCGACAATTTACTCAGGATCGACATCGTTTGGAGACGTACGAGGACCTGTCAAAAGAATCGAGTGATTTCGACCTCTTTGCGAACTTGACGTTTCGATTCACTTGCGAAGGCAAACAGACCGGCTTGTACGCGGATTTGGACTACGATTGCCGAATTTTTCATGCCTGCGACGATTCGGGGAAAGGTTTCCCGGTGATTTGTCCAAATAACACGTTGTTCGATCAGAGAGAACGAATCTGCACGGATAAGGACCAAGTTGACTGCGTACACGCGGACGAATGGTACTTTTATTATATTTTATCAAACTTAATGTCATTTTTTAAATAATTAATTTTAGGTTCTATCTAAACGAGCTGTCATATTCTCTGGAGCTAGAAGAAGATGCAAAATCGAAGGAACAAGAAGAAGTACCTTCTGTACTGCCTCTCTTACTGTCGTGACATGCTGTGCGATTTTTAAAATATCGACTATGTAAAACAGAAATATTAAAGTAAATATCTCTTTGAAAATGTCGATTTCTTTGTCGCGTTTCGAAACGGTTCAACACACCTTCTAGCAAGGCTGTAAAAGAAGGTAAAATAAATCCGCAGCCTTCGACGCAAAAATATCCGATGATCGTTTGTAAAAAAATCCTTTCGTGTTTAGTCGTCGAGTTAGAATATAAAATAGGGAAAAGAGGGTATATGGATTCTCAGACGTTTATTATCGCAAACGTAACACTGGCAAGAATCGCTGACTTACAAACTAAAGCTTTTACAATACTTGTATTCCGTTGAGCACATCGATTACATGGAGATCGATAAAAGAACAGCGTAACGAAGAATTTTCTTACCCGTCACCATGAAAATCCCCGGGGGTGAAACAGTCGATGATCCGTATGTTAAGACACTTACGTACGAAAGAAACTAGAACCGAGTCTTTGAACGTGCTAAAAAGATCTATTAAAAAGACGATTACATTGAAGACCGAGAAGATCGAACGACGACCGTCGTCAGCCGCGTTCGGGAAAAAATTAAAGCTAGCCCAATACAACGTTCATTGTTATTCAGCCTTTAATGGAAACGCGACGAAACCTACGAGTTACGTCTTAACGCATAGTAAATCAAATGCCGTGCCGTTGTCTATAATCCTACGAAAAAATAATCGCTATCGGTTACCCTAGAACCCTCGTTGCTACTCGAAATCATGGAATCGAATTGAACGCCTTGAAAATTTCCAAACATTCGATATCCTTCCTATGCTTATCGCTACAGCTACCCGAAGAAAAATTTACTCTAAAAATCGCTCTAGTAATCATTGTGATGAGGTGATGGTTCATATTGAGAAGGCCAAACGATACCTGGTCCAACCTTATGGTTTTCGTAAACGTATTTGATCTGTGGGTGGCTATTGGAGCCGAAGAAGGAGTCTCGCACCATTCCGAACATAGCCGAACCCAGAGCCATGTTGCTGATCATGCTAGCCATCGAGGCAGCCGCGCGAGCATGAGCGAGAGCCATCTGAAGCAAGAAGGACAACACCATACCGAACCCTGGCATCATCTGACCCATCTTCGTTTTCAAACCCCTGGCCAGGTCAGTCACGGAGTTCGTCACCTTCTTCGATAGAATCTCGTCGTCTAATTGCGGTAGTCTGATGATCAATCCTGACTTCGTACCCTGTTCGGGTCGTTCTTCGACGATTTTATTATCCTCCACGCCTTTCTCGTCGGAATCCAAGTAATTGTCCGAGTGTTTTTCCACTAACTTCAGAAGGTTCTTCGCTCGCTTCTCTCGTTGCTTCTCTTCCTGATCGCTGGAGGACTCTTTCTCAAAATCGTACGCCACCTGACTCAGAGGCAACGTCTTCAGTTCGTCGAAGTCCTGAGACTCCAAGGATACGATGTCCACCTCTTTCTGCGATTCCACGCTCTCAGACTTGAACTGCGGGTCGTTCAGCTTGTCGTGTAGCTTGGTACCGAACAGTACCCCGAAAGCGTTGTACGCGTCTTCGAGATCAAAGTACTTCACGTTATCGTCGTCTGCCTCGGAATCGTTCGATTTGATCTTGCTTAAAAACATGGAGATGATTTCATCGTCGTTCATCGATCTTTTGATGTCCAGGTACTCGTCGCTGTCCTTCAAGAACTGTATACCACCTTCCCTGTGTTCGTCGTCTATGCTTCTCTCCTTTTTATCCTTGTCCTTCTTCTTCTCCCCTTCCGGACGCTGATCCAGAACCTCCTCCATGATGTCGGTGATGATCGTCAGTATACTAGGCAGATTTTTGTTGTCCTTGATCTTTGCGCCTCGACCTTGCCTAAAACTAGTGACACTGATTCCAATCTCGTTGTTTCCGTAGCCTCTGATCTTCAGAAAGCCCACGTTCGTTTGGAACTCGTCTTCGGCTAGTTTTTTATACCAGTCGAGTAGAGAATGTTCGATCGAGTCCTTTCTTTTTAGGAGCTCCTTCTCGAAGTCCGTGGTGGACATGTCGAAGAAGTCCTGCACCTGGTTTTCCATCAGCGAACGTCCGAAGATACCGAAACTCGGGAAAGAGGGGAGCAGAGAAGGTAAATTGCTGACGATCAGAGGCCACGCGAATATACCTAAGCATCTGATGAAACTGAGACTCAGAATACATTGAACCACTTGCGACCCGATGCCTTTGCTCGATGCTCCGTAATCCAAATCGTCGATTATCTTCAGAATTTCGTACTGATCGGCGGTCAACGAGTTCCTAACCGTAGAGTTTAAAGTGTCGACGAGATACTGTTTCGATTTGGTGCCTGCAAGTTTATTGTTCTCTTTAATTCTGATTAGAAGCTGAAGATACTCGGATTCCGTGATGTTTGGAAACGTTAGAGGCGCGGACGTAGAATCTTCTGACGCTTGTTCCGTGTCGTAAGTTTCTAAACTTCTACGTTTTCTGTTTTTTGATGGATTTGATAGTTGCGAAGCGTTACTGGGTAAGTCAACTTTTTCGTTCGAGATATCTAAGAGGATTCCTGGCGGCTGACCTGCGTATCCGGGGACGATTCCTTCGTTACCTGCAAACAAAATACCGAATAAAAAACGCTGCTTATGAATCTGAAGAATATTAACTGACGGTAAATTCACCTACTGACGGCGTAGTCGATGACGTTTTATTCGCCTCGGTCTCTTGGGTCTCCAAACGAGGTGGAGTCTGCGGTTCTGAATTTTTTAAGCTAGCTCCCAAGTTAACAGGTAACTGAGAAAATCCACTAGACACCTGTGCTCCCAAGGTCTGAGAGGCGCCTAGAAAATAATTAGCGAGAGAATCAGCGTTCGAGGCAGACTCGGGAATCTGAAGGATACTGGGGAACTGAGTCAACAAGTCGCTGAGGCCGAGGAGGTCTGGCAGAGAGGGTATCGATTGCTTCAAAATTGGCCAGGAGATGTTGTTCGTGCAAGCCAGATAATTGTAACGCTTCGTGCACTCCAATATTCTGGCGACGTACGATGCTCGCTCGGAGGCTGGTATAATCCTCTCGACTAGATTGACGATGTTTATTTGCCGCTGGCTCAGGTGCGAGGCCACAGGGTCGCTGTTGTTCAAAGTCTGCTCCAGCTGCGCGTTCGACTTCTTCAGGGCATCCAACAAAATATTCTCTATCTTCTCCTCCACGTCCTCGAACGCCCACTCTGTCGTCTTCTGATTCGCGCTGTTTCTCGAAGTCTGCGAACTTTTGAGGCTTCCAAAATTCGGGAAGCTGGGTAGCCAGGGGAAGAACTGCGCAACCGTTGGCCAAATCACGTCCCTGGCGCATTCCAAGAAGTTCCTGTCTCTGATACAGGACACGGTGTTGTCGAGGAAGGTCGGCCGTGACGGTGCAGGCAATAAATTCTCCGCGGTCTGCACGATGGCGATCTGCTGCTCTGTCAGGAACTGAGAAAGCTCCTTGATCCTCGTCGAAAGAGGAGGACCTTGCAACGTGGGCACGGACAACTGAACGGCCTTCAGAATATTGAGGATGATCGTTTCCGGCAGCTCGTTGTAAATCGGGAAAAATCTGGTGTCCGTTATGGTCACCGTGGTATCCCCGTGCTGACCGGTTTTCACGTCGGTTTCCGAAAGAGGGGCGTCCGAGCTGGTGTCAGGTTCCGTTATGTTTTGATTGGGGGTCGGAGAGGTGGAGTTGACGACCGGGGTGCCGATGATGCTTCCGAAGTCGGGGAAATTTGGCAGCCAAGGGAAGTATTGCGTTAATGTTGGCCAGACGATGTCTCTGGTGCATATCAGGAAGTTGTTGATGCGAAGACACTCGATCATCTTGTTGGCGAAGTCGGGGCGTACGTTCTCGGGAAGCAAAGTGTCCACGACGTTCACGATATTCCCTTGCTGCTCGTTAAGCAAATCGAGGAACTGTTGATTCTTGAGGATCAACGAAGGTCTCGCGGTCGTCTTGGCCGATTGCAACTGAACCGACCGGAGAATGTTGTAGATCACCGTCTCCGGTTGTTCGGTAAATATTGGGACGAACCTCGTGCCGGTCACGCTGATCACTGGAACGTTCGTTACTCTATTCCTTGACTCCTTGTTGTCCTGGAAGAAGATCGCTTTCTTCTCTGATTCCGAAAAGACTCGTTCCTGTATCACCTCTCCGGTGCTCGTCACCGTTTCCTTGATCTCCAGCAAATTCTGATTGTTCGAATCGACCGGACTGTTCTCTGGGCTGGGAAATTCGGGTAGAGTCGACTGGTACCTGGCGACCGTCGGCCAAATCACGTATCTCGCGCAGTCTATGAAGTCGTTGTTCTTCTGGAGATAGGTGAGAACGTCGGTGATCAAAGTTGCCCTCGCAGACTGCGGTATGAGACACTCGGCTAAGCGCAAGATGTCGATCTGTCGTTTCGTGAACGTCGTGAACGTTATCGTGTTCCCTGTCAAAGTAACCGGCGAAGTTTCCATGCGTTTATCGATAGAGCTTCGCAGTTTCAGTAAAATATCCAGAATCAGATTCTCCAATTCGTCGGAGTACTGCGGTGCAACCTCGCGGTTCTTGAAAGCGTAATAAGTTGGAACGTTCGTCGATTTCTGAACAGAAGTACTACCGATCGGCCAGTAGAAGCTCACGTCCGGATAAGTTGGTATCTCCGGCACGTAACTGCCGATGTCCGACAATCCTGGAACATTAAAATCTGGCAAAAGTCTGGAAATGTCTGGCAAAGTCGGTATGAACTGTCTAACGGTAGGCCAGGCTGAATATTTGATGCAGGTCAGATAGTTGTATTCCTTCATGCACCTAACGGTCTTCTGAACGAATTCTGGTCGATACGAGATCGGAATGAGCTGCTCGGCCATGTTGATGGTCAACAGTTGATCCTGAGGCAGGAGTGCGACGTACGTGTCCGTAGCCTGGTCCAAGAAGGACGGGGAACTCGATATTCGCGGTTGTTCCTTCAGAGTGTTTTGGAGGACCCGAATAATTATCGCCTCCGGTCTGGGCCGCCTCGTTCTGGTCGCATCGGCGTCCACGATCTCGGGTAGCTCGCCAAGGTCTTCCGAGAAGCCCGGAAAAGGCAAGATCGGATACTGCGGCGAAAGGTCGATGATCGGGTACCAACTCTGATAGTCGGGGAAAGCGGGTAACGCCGGAAAGTATTGTTTGATCAGGGGCCAAGCGAAATACTTCACGCAGCTGAAGTATTCGAACCTTCTGACGCAGGAGAACATTCTGTCCGAATACTCTCTTCGCAACGCCTCCGGCAAGAATTTCTCGGCCATCTGCAGAATGCTCAGCTGATTGGAAGTCAACAAATTTTTTAGCGTCTCGTTCTTCGGGTCGATGTACGACACCAGCGTCTGATCGTTGGGATACGATTCCAAAGCGTCTTGAAGGATATTGTGGACCACGGCGTCCGGAGCGATCAATCTGACCCGCTGAATGTCTTGAGCTCTGCCGGACTTTTGACCGACACCCTGAAACAAATCAGACACGTTTATCTCGATCGGTAGATTCGGCAAGTTTTGAGTGACTGATTCTGGAAGGTTGTCCAGCAGGATCGGCCAGATAAAGATTTGCATGCAATTCAGCACGCTGAGCCCTTGAATGCATTCCATCAAGTTCTCGACGAAGGACTGTCGTTCTCTCACGGCTACCAATTGCTCGGCACATTTGACTATCCGCAACTGATTCTCGGTCAACGCGACGCCCTTCACGTTCGTCGTGTAGGACTCGTTCAAAGGATTCAATCTCTTCGACAGCACGATTCGCTCCAACGTTTCCAGCAATTGATTCTCCGTGAATTTTGGCACTCCCGGAAGCACTTCGACCGATTGCTCTCTCAAACGCGACAAGAAATTTCTATCTCTAATCTGACTCTGAAGCGTCGTAGCCTCCTGTCTCCACTTTTCGAGAATACTCGGTATCGATTTAACGTTTTTTACCTGGTCTCTGCGCTCGTTCTCAACTTCCTGCTCCATGAAGGCGACTTCGTCCATTCCGATCTCGCGCTTAGAACTCGCGAGCTTCGCTTCGTCCGGCTTGTCCGTCTTCTGAGCGTCCAACACGTCATCTCGAATCGATATCAACTTCTTTATCTGTCCGTCAACGATCGACTGTTGCTGCCCGTCCGATATTTTCTTCTCCTCAGCGCTTAGGTAAACGGTGGAGCTCTTGCGTCTGGATTTACCTTGGGACTCGCTCAACGATCTATACCCTCTGTTCTCTTCTTCGAAATCCGAGTGATCGTTCGAGCTAACTTCCTGTTCGCTCTTAACGCCATCCTCGCCGTCCAACTTCACCGCTTTCCGGAAGGAGCTTGGAATTTCGACTCCCGACTCGTCCACCTCCTGAATGCGACTCTCTTCGAACGCGACCGAAGATTTCTTAGGTTCGACCGACACGTGCTCTGATTTCGATTCTGTTTTGGAAGCGGAAGCATCGTCCGTGTCCACTCGATGGTCGAATCTCCTGATCCCCTCGTCTTTGACCTCCTCGACGGGACTGCCTTGGTTCTCGGACTTATTTCCGAGGACAACATCGTTTCGTCTGCGCTTTTTGGCTACGCTGGACTCTTCGTCTTGCTTCAACGGACTACCCTCCGTCACGATCGATTCCCCTTTCTCGAGATCGCGTACACCGTTAGGCGATCCGTCTGAACCCGAGCTCTGTTCCCCTCCAGCGTCCTGGTCTCCGGAGGATACGAGTTTCGTTTGCACTTGTTCCGGCACGCTCGCTTCCGTCTGCTCCCCGGTTAACCATACGTCGCGTTCGACCGAAACCTTGGCCCCGGGCTGGTCCTCTTCATCGTGGTGCACACTGCGAGTTTGACCAGCGCGAACAACGAGTAACAAGAGAAAAAGGCAAAGGAAGGAACGAGGGAAGATAGTCGGTAGCTGTAGGCGTCGCGGGTTGAGTGCTCTCATGGTCGCGGTCGAGAGGCGAATGTCTCGGCCACTTCTGAGCCGGCCTATGGTCAGCCATGGAGCAGAGGTATGGTTATACATACACCATCGTCCAGACTGTATTGAACGAAGATGCTCGTAAGAGTGTACGTACAGGCTCGACCAACGAGACGCGGAGATTCGCCAGGCTACGTAGATAGGCAACAGTGCCGAGAATTTCCATTTTTACGCTGCCCCTCTACGAGCACTCCCCTCGGGGTTGCGAGGGAATCGAGTTCAAGATCCAACTGCTGTAAACGCATTTTACCTCTCCGCTTCTTGCACCGTTCTCGATGGGGAACATTCGCGGAATCTTTCCGACGAATGGTCGAACAAAGACGCGCTAAAAAATTTAGCAAAATTTCGAACGATCGATTTTTGTAACCCGATTTCGTGGAACGACGGATTAAATGCTTCGTCCGCTAACCGCTACGCGTATCCAGTTCAGTCGCTTCTTGCGGCCAGAACCGTAATGGACCGATTAGCTGCGAGACTCGGAAAATAACGCGGTGGATTTCTTGCAGGCTGTAACGATAGTACTCGTATATTCGATGCCACGATTCGACTAAGCGTTTCATTTACGATTCTGTGCGTGTACATTACATCTAACTCTAGATCGTTTCTTTCCCTGGAATAGATTCCAGCGAGAAGGAAATAGAAAAACTTTCGCAAGTGGAAGATCATTGAAACGTAGTAAAGTTTGGAATCGTCAAAGTTTGAAACGTGTTTCTAAAGTGCGCGTACTTTTGCGAGCTCGGTGAAGATGGAACGCGGTGCGGGAAGGAAAAGGAGCAAAAAACGCGTATCGGGAGAAGAAGTCGTCGCGTCGCCGAGGCTGGAGGATACGGCACGAATACAGCGCAGACCGGGTTTCAAGTTCATCTTTAATACAGCCTTTCTCGTTCTGGTGCAAGGGGTTGCATTTTTAGTCCTTGAAGGGATCTCTCGGCAACGGAGAGCATGGAAGGGTAAAGAATTTTTACGAGCAGCATTATTTTCCAAGATAGCCTCCTCCTTCGTTTCCTTCTTCGGATTCTCTTTGCTCTTCTGTCTTTCTTTTCATGCCGGATTCACCGTGCAAAGTCGACGCAGTAAACCTGTACCGCTTCTCTTCCTTTTATCCGTAGCAGGCTTCTCTTAAGGCGTTTTCACAACGCTCATTTTATTACCTCCCAACTTTATCTCGCAAATCACTGTGCTTTCGCTTACTCGTTTACGCTATTTTCTCGTCGTGAACTTTCACGCTTCTCGTTACGTCACTCGATTGTTTACGAAATTTTGCTGCCCTCGTAAATTTTATCGAGCAAAAACGATCGAGGCGAGTCATCAGCGGCCGCAATTTAATCGACATTACCGACCTGCGTCGTTATCCCCGAAGCGAACATTACGTAAAAACGAATCTCGAGACGACTAAAAATGCGTTGGACCGAGACGAGACTTCCAGTTCTACAAAGACGGACGATTCGAAAGACATAGTCTTTCATTTGCACGCTCGATCAACGTCGTTCGAAGAACACAAGGAGGATTACGGGACAGCGACCGGGGCAGATGATATCGAAAGTGGGACATGGTCTACGTGCTATCGATGAAAAGTCCAACGATCAAAGGAGGTCTTATCTACAGTTCCAAGACGAGTTGGCGAACAAGGAGGATAATAGGAAGCAACGGTTAACGAGCAATAGAAGCGTGAAAAGTTACGCGGTCAGAACGCAACGGTACGGTCCGAGGACGCGGAGCGTTCTAATGTTATTCTCGAAAAGTGTTTCGAGCGAGCCGCGTCCACGAAATTGCTGGGCAAGCGGTAGAAATTCGAGTCATTGCGCAGATCGTCGGCGCACGCGTCGACCGATCCTCTTTTGACTTCGAACGGCGTCCGGCTCGTTCGTCCGAATCATACGCCGATACGTACGGACTCGATTAACACGTTATATTTCGTGGTTCCTGTTTTCGCGACGATCGCGCGACCGTCCACGCGATACAGAAGACGAAACAGCGAAGATAACGAAAAGAAAAAAGCCTGCTTCCTCCTCTCGAGTGAATTCGCGGTGTCGATGAAGATCACGTGATCTTAACCGGTTCGATCATGCGACCGATTGGTTGGACGCTAACGTGCGCGCTACTCGCTGTTGCTTTTCCAAAAAGCGCAATCCTGCCGTGCGTAGAGTGTGTTGGTGTCGTTACCAACGAACATGAAGGAGTTGAACGCGCGAAACTCGACGAACTGTCGCGACCGATTTCCAAGGACGCCGTGCTGCATCCCCTGGTACGACAGCTTCGAGAATTCTTGGGTGGCATCTTCGACAATCAGAGCAACCTACGAGGTGAGTTTTTAACGATGAATCATCGAACTCGCGAATTGATTGAAATGTGTGATTAGCAGAGGCGCGCACGTTTGGACATAAACGCATCCAGTTCATGTTGATGCCGATGATGTATAAAATGGGCGCAATGATGACCATGTTGACTGTGTTAACTGTGATCTCGCTGAAGGGATTACTCATTGGTAAGTTATGTACTATTCTATTGAATAGATAACGGTTTCTGATCGGGTACACCGTGTGCATACGAAATCAGGAGACATCGACCTATTTATCGATCCTGATCGTAGGTCTAAATTTTACACGGTAGAGCCTCTTAATCTTTTGTTTCCTTTTGTAATTTAGAACGGTTGGAATTTATGAACGTGGTTTTATTGCAGGTGCCATTTTACTGATGCTCAAAGTGAGCACGTTAATAGCCAAGTTTTCCTCCGGTTGGCAGCACCATGCACCGGCCGGGCCTGCTCAGCCGATTCACGTGCACGTTCACAATAGTCTACCCACCGCTCACCAACAGGCGTACAGTGGCTGGATGTCGCACAGCGGTCCAGATGACGAGCAACACTATTACTATAGAGGATAGTCAACAAGCTCTTCGAAGACAACTCCAAATAATCTCTCATCATCCGCGAGGACAATAGTGCAATTGCATTTTCAGAACCGAGAATGCGCTTACGATTAACGAAGACTTCCTTGGTACCAAAGGAACTGTGCGATTACTTTAGATTGATTTTATTTATTTCGACTTTACCGTTAGTAGATTGTAAGTAGGCTTTGTAAAGATTTGTCGGTCATTCCTAATCGTTACACCCGACTGAATTGTAAAACCAAATTTACTTGTGCTACGAGCGATAAGCTCGTGTTTACCTCATGTTAACAGTAACGCTCTGTAAAGAAGCATTCTACCTATTTAATGTGTATCGCCGTATTTATTAAACTTTTTATGAAATCAATTCGTCGTAGAGTTATATTATAAAATTCTCCGCGGTTCAAGGTTGGCTAAGCGTGCATTACACCTTCTTTCAATTGCACCCGCAGACTGCAGAGACCCAGTTTCCTGGTTTCTAGTGGGGTAAGCACATAGCGCAAAAAAGAAAATGTGTACTAGATCGCCAGTAGTCTCTTCGGTGATCGGATGCAGGTAGCACGCGTTTCGTTCTACGGTTATGAAGTATTACAAAGAAAACCGATCTCTTTTTAATACAAAATGTTTCTTTGAGCGCTGTTGCCGAAAGTGGGCAAGTGATAAACTAGTTAAGGTCGGAAGACACAAATTAACCGTTGTAATTTTAGGAGTGAGAACGCCATGAATGGAACGCAAACGATTGTCTGTCTCTGCCTCGTGATTACATTAAACATGATTCGTGCCGAAGAGAACACTGACCCGAACGAAGATCTGCGATACGATATTTCGCAAGGAATCACGTTGCGCACCTCCAATAATAAAACGAGCATTGTTATAAGAATGTCGACTCTATTTAAAAGTGAGTATCTCAAAGAATCGTACAGGATTCGACGGTATTCATTTATTCTCCTATTTTAGAAAGCGACGAACAGAGGAACATGGCCAGATTGAAATTTAAGAAGGGCATTTTCCAAAGAATCGGCATGGCGGTGATGATGTTCCCTCTTATAATGCAGGTTTGCTATATAAAAAATTACCAGGCACGAAGAATCGAAGTAATTTTCAACTACTTTTCAGATGGTGAGCTTGCCAGCTACGCTAGCGTCCATCAAGCTGACTCTGATACGAAGCTTAGTGGTGGGAAAAATAGCGTTGGCTATCATGTTCTACAACGCGATCCGAAACTCGCAGAAATCGGAAGTCGTGTTGGTCCACAGACCCGAATATCACGAGCACTATTACCACACGTACCACCAACCGGAAGACGACGACGAAGGATGGTTCGGAAGATGAAAGTTCTTCGAATAAAATTTACGAACATTGCATTATTACTAAATACATTTTTTTACCTGACAAAGTGCACTGTGCTGTGATTTCTGTAAAAATTGTAACGTTTTTTATGAAAATATAAGATGACTTGTAATCGAACGGCAGTTAAACGCTGAAACGAAATAGTTAGCCGAATGAACGTTCCGTGAGACGAGTAATGGCAAGATACTCGAGGTGACCTACTTAGTGCCTCGTGTAACGGCATTTTGGTCCAGATTCTCAAGTCTTTGGTACCACGCGCCTTTTCCCTTTTCTCCACCGTTAAATATACATCGAAATCGAAATTAATACACAGCTCGATTTCGACAAACGTCGCATCGTGAAACATTTCGATTTTTAAGTAGAAGAATGAGTTTCCACGAAAGGTGCAACGTTGCGTGCTGACTGCCAATCGTTAGAGGCGGATATATGGGCGAATGTTTAGGGCACGTAACGAAAGTCTTGTCAATGTCGAATTTATTTTCCAAGGCCTCGATATTCGCGCTGCGTATACGTGCCAGAAACCCACCTTCCGTTTGTATATTGTATCGTTAGTATGCCACTGCCATCGATCCTATATCGACAGTTAGCCATACCGAATCGTAGCTATACCGTTTTCTAAACTACAAAATGCACGATGCACAACGTATACGTGGTAAATCCACCTGGTCTAATCTCTCTATTCCTTGCCGTTTAGATCATCCTCCTTGGCTCGAGTTTCGTGTCAAACCGTCAACTCCCTTCAATCTTAAACATCCCTCTTTTCATCTCTTAAATAAATGTAACTTTTTTTAAATAAATCAAGAAACTTTCAGAAGAGAAAACCTTGTGAATTGTATAATTGTCGAAGGGTTAAATTATAAGCGACTATTACTACTATTCCATAATTGAGCTACTTGAAGGTACAGAACGAAAGCGAACAGGTCTATTCACTTTATTTTCTCTTTCTATGTTAATAAATGTACGCAAAAAATCTTTGGCTTATTTACATCATCGTTTAAGTAAGCCTGAATCATCCTCTCGCGAACCTGCTCGTCGGAATGTTCTTATTTAAATAAATTTCGATCGCCACCGATTACGATAGCCTACAATTTCCACGGAGACGCACGTGGCGTGTATCGAAACGAATTAACGGTCAAAGCTATGAAGTATTTTTTGTGTCTGAAAGTAGCATAGTAGCGTATTGACGTGATCTGAATTTTCTCTTTTACGCGCGATAATGAACTTGCTCGGTCACTCGGGCAGGTAACGTTGTCCCGAGGAAAATAATTATGTATGCGAGAAATGAAACGAGTCAATTAGCCAGAGGAAAAAAGGAGTAATTGATCGCGGCGACAAAGGTGAAGTTCGCGATGAACATAATAATTCATGAGATGTTGTGACAGTAACTTCATGTTACGCTGCGAATGTTATGCTACTCTGACGCGCCGAGTGCTTCTGTTATGGAAATCGAATCGCGTTTAGTGAAACGAGTCCAACATTCGATTTGTACTGTTTCTACTAAAAGCTCGAAAAAATAGGAAGCAAGACCGGAACGGATGTCCAAAACAAGAATGCCTTTTTGATATCGTGACATGCTTTCGAAAAGAGCGATTTCACTACAATTTCGTGGTTGCTCTTTAAATAGCGATAAAGATTGCTGGAAATTAGGTTGTATTAGCATCCCGGTATAGTTCCAAGCGGAATTTCTGTGGTCGGTCCACGTACGTGACTCACACGCGTGCCAAGCTAACGAGGTTCACGATCCTAAATCCATTACGCTTTTCAGCAATAGACGTGCTATAAAAAATTCATTTCGAGAACGGCTTTGGAGATATTTTTTTAGCAGAAAACGCAAAATTGTGTGGGGCTAAAAATAAAATTTTGTAACGACGAATAAAGGAGAAAGCAATTTACGAACGAAAGTAACATAAATCGATGACTATGAATAATTTCTCCCTCTCTCTAGCGCTGAATGAATATTCGTCAAACTCTTGAGATTCTTTTCGATTCACGGGAGCGTCTCGACCCCACGAAACGGCCAGAATTCCTTAAGGAGAGTCAAACGTAGCTCGGTTTCAACGACATGTGCCTACGAAAAGCGTGGCAGTGGGGGGATGCCAGTCTGGTCTCACCTGAAACAGGACCAACTTGATTGGCGGAAGTCCCAGAAGGAAGGGGTTAGACTCTCGTATATGTTGGAACACACACCTTCCACGACCACTATGTGCTCGTGACACGCGGTCCAAGGATATAAAAAGCCTAAGGTCGAGCAGGAATCGAAGAAAAACAGCGCGAGGGTTAAGGTCAGATACCACCTATCTGGTGATTTCGCGTGGTGACAGTGTCTTTTCCAAATTTCTTTTCGCAAACCACGCGATCTACCGAATCATGAGGATACCAGTGTTCGTCTTCTTGCTTCTGGGAGCCCTCTGCGCTCAGGGTGAAACTGTCGAAAAGAAAGAGGATGATAGTTTGTTGAACTGCGTGCTGGAGGATGACTCGATGGGGTGTTTGAGGACGAGGCTGGCCAGGGACATCGATTCGATCGAGGTGCAAGTGACTGGAAAACAGAGCGAAGTACCCATGAGTGCCGTCATCGAACAGGCTGGTAGTTTCGTGGCGGATATCGTCGATGACATCCAGGAGACAGGAAGTGTGGAAGAAGTCGAGGAACAAGATGTGCAAGGTAAGTTGCTATTTGGACGGATAATTCTTTAAACGATGTAGACTTTATTGAAACCATCGATAACTTTATTCAATTAATTTCCTTACACGTCGCTGAGGGGTTAAAATTGTAAAAAGTATCGAAATATTGTTGGTTATAGTGCAAATTCGTGGAAATAGTAAATCAACGAATAGGCGGAACGGGTCGAATCACGGACAAGTGGAATATTTAATCGATTCAGCACGTGGAGCGCATGATAAAATCAACCGTGAACTTTCCTGCGTGCCTCGCGAATATCGTTACAAAAAAGTCGGTTAACTTTTACCGACCTTAAACTCGGTTGTCTTCAAGTTACATATCCGGATTTAATTTTAGCTATTTTCACTTTCGTCGTCTTAGAATTTGACACAGATTGTGTTACAATGATTTAACGATGTTTCACCGAGTGAACGAGTGTTTAGTTGGTTTAAGAGACTTGTTCTCCAGCGTTTATTGAAAGAAGCACTATTAGCACGGAAACGTTAGACGTTATGCAATCAAACGAATGCGTTGTAGGTCAACGAGGATCGTTTGTAATTCAATGTCCGATATGTCAACGATTTCTCATAGTTTACACACTGTTTAATGGTACAAGTTAGGCAAATTTGCTGTAACGGTTCTGCGCTCGTTACCTTTGTTATCTTTTCGAGCATGTCGTCGCTGGAAAATTGAACAATTTGGCAGGCATTAAGATTAACCGTCCACGAGAAAATGTCGAGTCTTTGAAGAGGTTACAATTTTCTTACGATGCGTTCTGACCCCACAGAATCGCGGTCAATGAATCGAGTAAGGAGAGCGACTGGAAACAAACGAGACTGTCTTCCTGTTCTACGTCATTCATTATTATGACAAAGATCGGTGTCATGAGTTTCACAATTATCCCTCGGATCTAACAGTATTAATACATTTGATGATTCGATCACTTTATCTCTTGATAAAGATTCGATAACCCTTCAATCGCAGTCGACGCAGTCCTTGAAACTCTTTCAACTAATACGTGATCAAATTTTGATTCCAGTTGAAGGACGCGGCAAGAAATTGAAGAGAAAGAAGAAGCACCTGCAGAAGCTGTTGGGTCTGGCTATGCTGTTCAAGGCGAAACTGAGCCTGTTGCTTCAACTGATCTCCACGCACTTCCAAGTCAAGTTCTTCGTGATCGCCATCCTCGGCTTGCTGATCAACGCTGCCAGGTTTTGGCTGGACCTGAAAAAGTCCCATCCATCCAAGGTTATTTATTACGAGCACGCCCAGCACCAGCATCACTACGACCACGACGATCAAGAGCACGGTTACTGGGGACGATCCGCGGACAGCACTCCTCAAGATCTCGCTTATTCTGCCTACGCCTCGCAAAACTGATGCTCCATCTTATCTATAAATGATCGTAGAGAAGCTACGATTGTTTTCTTCGTGCTCAGGTTTAATCGCTCAAGAAATGATTAAACGATCGTTCCAATCAGAGCGACGTTATTCGTATTACTCTAATTTATGTATTTATGTTAAATTATTTATTGTTTTGTTTGTATCACGGTTTGCGCCGTTTTTAGAAATATTTATCCCTTGTCTAAGATACTCCCTCGACTCGCAAAGCGTTCCATCCTCGTAACCAAAGTCCACTTTGCGTACCTGTCTCGTATTCTCTTTATCTGCCAAACATTGTTAATTTATTTGTTAACAACGCCTGTAAGAAACGTGCAAGTAATAAATTATTTTGATAATAACATCGTCAAACGTTGCCGCCAGCTCCGTCGAGAATTTCAATACGGTTTCGGGCGGAATCGTAGATCGTCGATTTATCGACTGTAAGTAACACGTCTGCCAGGAAAGTTTACCGAACCGGCAACCTTCTTTCTCCGCGGAGCGTGAGACTCGCATAATTTCCTTTGTATGCATCGCGATCGCTCGGAATTGTGGCTGGAATTTTCAACGAATTTCGATACTTTGACCTGTTCGTTTACCTTGTCGAGCGATAAACTCTCTGCCAGCGAATTTACCGATCTTGAATCGAGAAGTGTTAAGATGAGAGCGTTTCGTGTCAATGACAAATCGATGCAGGTTCGACAAAGATGTACCTAGATTACGTAACTTGCAATATGGATTATCGATGCGCGTCGAGTCTCGGACGAATCTGTCACGGTGAATATTTTTCGTGAATCTCATGGTCAATGACCAGAGACGCGTGCAAGGTTTCGTAACGACCGGTTGGCCACCCTGTTAAGTATTCACATGCCGGAGAATCGGCGATCGGCCTTAGCGAACGCACGAGGCCCGCTTCTCGACTCGCCCTCGAATTTTGACGACGAAATACGACCGGGAACCTCTTTTCGTAGCTCCGATTGGACCGCCGCCAAACGGACCACCGTGTCGCTTTGCGAATCATCGAAATTCGTGAGAAGATACGCTGAAATATCCTTCCGCCGTTCATTTATTGAATTTCTTCGTCGCGAGGCTACGTCGAACTTTTCTTAATCAGCTGACGAAAGTCTCGATCCTTAGGTTTATTTTGATTCGAATTGCATGCGGCCTTCGAGTCGCACGTCTTCGGGATATTCATTCTGATTCCTTTCTTCGGTACCCTCTTAAGGGCATATAAATGCCTCTTTGTTCGATTTCGAAGATGACTCGATGGTTCGATAGCAAAAATTTCCAGGAGTTCTTCCTCGGGAAGTCAGCTCGTCGATCATCGTACGATGAATATTACGCGAAGCTGGGCGAAATAATTCATGGTGGTTGCACGGGGGAGCGTATCGCGCGGCCCATCAGCGGTGAAATTTGCATCGGGCCTTCGAGGATGATGTGGACGTCTGGATGGTCATTGGCAGACCAAACGTGATGAACTTACTAATTTCCGTCTACCAAGAATCGGCCATTCATACAATATTCAAGATCCTTAGGCACAGGTCGCTATATAACACCCTTCCGCGGATCGAATCATCAGTCTTTACAGGATCCTCGAAGACACAACTTTTATCCATTGTTCTTGCCGATTCGACGAAACGCTTACAACAAAATTTCGATCATGATTCGACAAGCGTATCTAATCGTGCTGTTGATCGGTGTATGCACCGTCGTTTGGACTTTTCCGCAACAACCAAAGATCAGTAGACGCCCCGCTCCGGAGTTCAAGGTTCGGCTCGTATTCGTTTATTTCTCTTTCTTTGATACTTATCGATTCTCTTTGGTCAGAACAAGACTGGCGGCCTGGAACTTCCGGACAACGCGACGGTGATTCGAGAGAACATCGTAGACAATTTTTCCTGCAAAGACAGGATCTACGGTTACTACGCCGACATGGACAACGACTGCCAAGTTTTCCACGTTTGCTTGCCGCAAACTAGGGGCGCGACTAGGTGGAGCTTTATCTGTCCAGCGGAGACCGTGTTCAATCAGGTAATTTTTCTTTGAACTTATCTGTTTACCTAGTTTTTAATAATGTAACGTCGTTCAGGCTACGTTCGTTTGCACGAAAACGGAGAATTCCATACCGTGCGAGGAATCCGAGAAGTTTTACGAGTTGAACGAAGCGATCGGTAAGGAAGTGGAAGAGGAGGAGAGCGACATGGAACAACCGCCGAAGGAATCGGATACCGTGGAAACGATCTCGAGCAAACCACCGGTTAGGACTTCGAGGATTTTCAGACGGAAGAAGACGTCGCGACAAGAGTGATTCTTCCTATGCGATAACGTAGTTTTCTCGAGAATGGGCTGTGTGCACTGTGAACTATCGAAATAAGCTCAGTTGTGTCTGCTTGCCTAAAATAAGTTAGCTTAAGAGTATTTTGGAGTGGTTCTCCGCGTAAGTCCGTAGTAACGCGACTTTAGAATCTCTGTGAAAAATTTATTGTACATAGTAGTGGTACAAATCTGTAATACTGATAATAAAAGTATCTACGATCAAGCGGTTGTCTCGTGCGCGAGAGGAGTTACACAAATGTCCCAAGCCTAAACGTGCGAATGGAAAACAAATCCGTGCGACTCGAAGGAACTTAACTGCTAAATAAAAAAATAGGACTAATTAGTACGGTGCTAAGACAGCATCGTTAACGACGTTAATCGTTTATTTACAACAACTGATATGTGTGTCGATATTGGTTTTGTGGCTTAACGCTAGATTGGAAATAAATTAAATAGGGCAGGTTTAAAATAAAGATACTGTACAGTGCAAAACGAAAAGAACACACACGCAAACACACGCAAAGCGGCTAGAAATAAATCCAATTTTTTTTTCTCTTTTAATTCGACATCCGTTGTTTTATGAAATTGCAAAAATCACCGAAATTTCGGTGACTCTCGGTCTTCTTTTTCTATTTCGTATCTTTGGATAACTAGCCATTATGTCGTGGAAAGGCAGCACCTATTCCTCCGTTCGTAAATGCCGATAAATTAACGATCAACAGTTACACCAACTCTCGCAAACAGTTTCACGATTTTTACATAGGATCCTAAAGCACGTGTCTACGTTCTCAGCTTGTAAGTACATTTTAATCAAAGGAGCTATCTTCTGAACAGCCGCTGGCCTATCGGATACAAAATATCTATTTATACAAGTAAAATCTCAAATGCATTTCGACTCACGATATATCTTAGTAAATAAAAAAACGATACATTTCTCTTAAACGAGTTCACGCTGTCGGAATCTATATACACTAGGCATCTTCAACGATGCGTACCCTGTGTTGTCCTCGCATTCCAGCGATCTTGCATAACGGTTTCCCTCGACGATTTTACCGAGTCAACGAAAAAATAAAACAGGAGGAAAACTTTAAGCCTCGGAATCCGCAGCGAGATCCGCCTCGATTTCTTCGGGACTCCTCAGGTCAATAGCGAATCTCTTTTTAGGATTTTTGCCTGCCATCTCTGCCATTTTGTCCTGAGCCCTGACAGTCTTCGAGTACACATCGAACGCCGCAGCCAACGCGTAAGTCAATTGTCTCGCATGGTGTTTCGACTCGCACACGAAACCGTGGCACTCGAACGGCGAGACTCTTCTAAAGTTCTCCGTTTCTCGCACCACGATCATGGAAAACACTCTGGTGTAGACGAGATCCTGAACGCCGTACGATATCGTCTCGATGGAGTACATCCTGGCGAAGTTCGGTTCCTGTTTTCGTTTCTCGAGAGGCAGCAGAGCAACGCCTTCCTGGGACACGACCAGCTTGATCAGAGGAAGCATCGTGTTGGTCGGTAAAGCCTTCGCGGCAGCCACCATATTATCGACGGGTCTTCTCGTGTGTTTGATGCCCCAGAGACCCCTCGCGTCATGAGAGCCCAGATATTTCACCTGTAAACGTTCCCCTTTTAGTCTCCCACTCGTAGACCCACGACTAGCAATTAAACCAGGCCTCATTCGTTGGACGGACCACAGTTTTTTTCCACGGCCATTTAAATCGTGCCGGCTGTTAGGGTTATAACCCATAAACCAATTAGGAATTCATAGAGATCACGACAAGCATTTTACGTTCGGTTGACTAGAAAGGCTCGAAGAGCCTTAGTCGAAGCGGACTAAAGGTAAACACGAAGAGGTATTACCTGAAACACCTGAGGTAGGTCCGTCGAACCTTCGAACACGTTATTGTCGATCGATAGACGAGATAACTTAGACACGAGATCTTTCTTCTTGTCGTTGGAGGACGTGGGACTTTTCGTTTCTTTCTTCATTCCTTCTATGCATCGACTTCCCTGCAACGAATACGGTTAGCGTCGATTCCTCGAGAAATCATAGACAAAGAGCCGTTGAACGTAACTGTCCGGTCAATTTAATAAAATTACGAAGCAACTTCTTTGAAGATTCAGGAAAACAAATAAAACGATCGATCATCGACGAAGGCTATTTGCAACGCTGAACAGATACTCACTGGTGCGTTATCGAGCTCGCAAACCTTTTGCGTTTGTCCTGGCTTCACTTTCAGGTGATACTCGACCACGTTCGGTATGTTCGGCGGGTTGGAAACGACTGAGGAAGCCGGAGAGGACGAAGAGGCGATCGCTGCCCGCTCAGGGACGGCGTTTCCGGCCTCCGTCGCCCCGGATAATGGCGCTGTCATCACGGACCCGCCAACCGTCTCTCCTGCCTAACAAATTTCAAATATTTCCATTTTCAAAACTCAATATTCCAAACTCTGCTCTTCCAAGACACGATTTACACTTTCAGATATTCTTCCAACAGTTCGCCTTGGAAAACGAACCTTGCTATTTGGCGGGTTACTACCCTTATCGCTCTTGCTCTCGTCGTCGACGTTCTTCAGAATATTATCGTTTCTCTTCGTGAAACCAAAATCCTCGTCTTCCATATCCGGATCCTCTCCGCTTACTCCCGATCAGATTCTTGTTTTCCCTTAAGTTGTAAAAATTCCAATTTCGACTAAAACCGTCGGTTGAAGGGAAACAGAAAGGTCAGCGAGAGTGGGTGCTATTATCGTCATCGTATTCCGAGACGCGTTCAGCCGCGAAATTAAAAACAACCTTAAACCGTCTCGACCCGAACCGGAAAACAGCTGTCACGCTGCACGCGTTGCACCTTGCGCTCTACGCCCGATCGCTTCCTTCGCTCTTTTCCTGTCGGCTCGTTTCGACGTTCGTTACAAATATTAGACCTTCGTAACGAATTCTGGAAAAGGCGTTTCCGTATTTCTGTTCGCGCAAGAGCGACCGTTTTTGTTCGCTGTCATAGAGAGATTTAATCGAACGGAACGGATACACTGGCGGCACACGATACAAGAGCGATGCTATCGAGAATCGTGAACGCGTACACGGGGGGCTTGGCTTTGAACGAACAGGAAACGAGTCAGGTGAAAAGGGATTCATTAACGTATTCCGTCCGTTGGTCGGCTTTGAGTAGTCTGTTGTTCGAATAAGTGCCGGTGAATCCTGGTGTGCAGTTACCGTTTCGAAAAGGCGCGCTAGTTTCCGCGCTTTCTATGACCGGGCCGCAGAAATTCAAGAACGAAGGTCGAAACGAGTCAACCGAGACGAACATCTCGTGAAATTTTACTCCTCTGATTATCTTTCGCGAAACTCGATAATCGATGTCAACAAGAGTTAAAAATTTCTATGTATGACTGAATATTCCTGTGGGAACACAAAGGGCTAATTCTTTGCACTCAAAAGTAATTTCTTTACATTGCATCTTCAAAACTTAGTTAAAAAGTTAAATGAATTTTCTTGAAGTTGATATTTCTTTACTAATAATTTCCACTACTGTTTGTTTCGCTATGTTTGTACATCACGCGTGTCATGTTAAAAAATGCTTGTTTAAAATTATTGTATTAAATATAATGATGACTGCGAGTCACCTCTCGAGCACAAAGGGCTAAAATAGATTCGTAAAACAGTTCGGGGATAAAATAAACCCGAACGAGTTTGAACACCTTGTATAGCCGGAGCGTTTGTGCACCTGTCGCCCAATTACACCCGCGTACAATGGTGAACTGTTAACGCGCGTGTCCACGTAACGGGTGTTCCCGCAAAAATCGACGCGCGTTCGATGACAGTGCGATTCGAATAATTCAAAGGACATCTATGCAAAGAGGAGAAAAAGGTTAGGCGGTAACGGTATCGTCGGAGGATGAAATGAAGCTACAGGTATTCGCTGATCGTTATTACGGTTTTCCAACGTTTCCGTTACACCTTGGTCGATCAAAGCTTCGAGGTATCGAAAATAACGTTGAGATCAGAAATACGTTGATTTCACGCGCAAAAAAAGGACGATTCCCTTTTCTAGCCGAGGAGAGGGTAATACCGGAAACGTCGGTAGACGGGTGTCTGACCGGAAACCATTATGCTCGTGTCACGAACGGACTGCAACGGCGCAGCGCACGTTTCGTGTCGTTGGAATTTAAACCGTACTCGACACTGTTTACTTTACTTCCACGCAACTATGTTTCTTTTACTCGAATTACAGGTTGACACGCCACCTATCGCAATTAATTAATGCTACATAGATCAGCGGGCAGATCGCTCCATAGACGAACCGCTCGAACAAAGCTAGACACCTCGTAATTCATCCTCGTTCCTCGTTGCATTTTCTCACGATGTCACGATACCCTGAAACACGGAAGAAGTCCGAAGGCGAAACGCGCGTGTTTCGAGCAGGAAAAACTGGAGCACCGTTGCTCCAAGGAAAATCAGCGATAATTGTCGCCTTGCTTATCTTCGATAAATAACGATAACGTTTTTATTCTGTCCGATGGGAGAATAAAAATCACGAAATACCTACGAATTACTGTCGGTGTCGCTTCATTTACCTTCGCGTTATTCGTTCGCTCGATCATCGACATCACACAAGAGAACAGCACTTCACGGAACCGTTTCGCGTAGCGACAAGAATCTGTTTACGGAGACAGGTGTAATCTCGATACGAAGTCTATCTGTTCCAAGTATCCGGAAACATGGTCGAACGTAGCTACCGGTTCGATCGATCCGCGCTCGTTGAACCGCGAAACCGTTCTGAGGATGGACCGATCTAGGATCGGCAAACGATCGACGGCCAGCTGCGTACTATGCACTGTCGCGTGTACTCGTGCGACTGAAAATCTGGGACACCGTAGCTCGCTTCGACTCGCGCCGACTGATAAAACGCGACGCGATGCGACGCGAGTTGCCACCATAAACGGGATGCCACGACGCACGCGTGCGTCCACGCCTTCGTTATCGTGTCTCTCCGATAAAACCATCTCGCTTCCATGCGAGCAAACCTTTTTCTATTACCTTTCGTCGACGAAGAATCGCCCGTGAACACTCGCGATCGTCGTGCAACGATGTTTTAAGTACTTATCAATTTACTGACGGTCGCGCAACACCGAATGTAGGACAATTTCGAGCACCGTTCTCTGTCGCGGACGGCGCGATGCACGAGCGATAAAACGATAAACGTTCCAAGATCACAGAGATATCTAGAAGGTTGTCGAACGTTTAGCAAAGCGGCAAAAATCAAAACGCGTTTCCTAGGATTCGTTATAATCGATGTTATATCTCTTACGTAACTGTAGGTACAGTAAAAATGTACACGATGCCGTGTTACGTAAGGAAGACAGTCCAGATTTGATTGTACGTAGGTTGCGGATAAAAATCGAGGTATCAATTAAAATAATTGGACAATCGGCGGACGTGCAACGAAATCGATCAACGTTTCCAAAGGCGGACTCGAAAGAGCGGTTAGAAAAAGAGTTTTGTCGTAGAGGTAATCGGCGAGGGCGATCGAATTGCTAAACTCGGTATCGTAATTAAATATTTAATCGACCGAACAACGGCAGAAACGTGAGAAAGACTTTCGTGTCGCTTTTGTACGTTACAGGAAAGATGCTCGGAAGTCGACTAGTTATGAAATTACGAAAGCGCTTATGGCGACTGAACATTGCCGAGCGTGTGAAGATTCGGGATACAGAGGTAACCGTCTGACGAAAGTGTCCATTAAAAAGGATGCTCTTCTTTTGATTGCCTTACCGAAGAAAAACAAGAAAATACCGCTCGTACATTCTTTCGCTGCCGCTACAATCAAACGTAATAACACCCGCGCATTTACACCGCACGACACGAGAACGGGGACATTAAGATACAAGGCGCGATAAGAATCTTCAATTGAACCAACCTCGAATTAGGTAGTTCAGCGGGAGGCACGACTTTCTAACGCCACCCTACTATTCTTAATAATAGGTTATTTAATAAAGCGGGGACACGAGTATCCTTTGTCATCGGTGTTGTCAGTTCGCTCGCGATACTACGAGGGATTCTCGTTATTCTCGAAACCGACGGACCTTCCCACGAACGTTACGCGGATTTTGCAAACCGCCCGATATGTAATTAAAGATAATTCAATTCAAACAAGACGCTTATACTCGGCATTGATTGTTCCGCGTGCAGGGTATTATTCGGATACGGATGCGCAACTTTGTTACCTAATTCGAGACAGCACGGTCGCTAAAATCGTCAATCTGATTACATGGAATTTGCACGCCAATCTCGAAAAGTTCGCGGTTGCCAATTACGCGCCGCTAATTGGCAGTGAACGTGCCTCGGAAATTAAAGGGGTACCGAGAGGAAGAAGCGTCATGCAAATCAACGATTCGATAGAGCTCGCGATTCTCGTTTTCCGCTCGTTCGCTCGTAGCGCAAGGCCAATTTATCGCGATCGGAAGAAAGGAGTCAACTTCCCGTTTTCTCGAACAATCTTCTGTCCCGAACTTAATAACAACGTCCTCGAGACGATCTTCACGTGCTTTTAATTCCATGTAGGAATCCTCGTTTCCTGCATCGCGCAACCGCTCGAAGATTTCGAAATGCACGAGACACGGATTCCCGAATTTAGCTGACCCTGTACAGAGATCCCCAAGAACGATGCGATCGAGTGATTTCGGACAGCTTAATTCTTACCGAAGCGTTCTTAATCGGTACTTCGTGATGAGGATTTTCCGTTCTGAGAATCTCACGAAAACACGTATCTGATCGATAGGAATAATCCCGATCTTCCTAGGAAAGAATAGACAAAAGTGTAATTAATGGATAGTATCGCCTTCAATTTACGAAACCTGCCGGATTCGATAAAAAAAGGACTTGGAGAGAATGACAAATTTTTATACTTGCAATACTTTGACCCGATCGATCGCCTGTCTCATCGAGAGCTACCCTCTCCTTTGGGTAAAAAAACGAAGAACCCCGATTCAAGTACGATCGTTACGAGTGTTTTCACGGGTGTAAGAGCACGAGAAGGATTGCGTAAGAGAAGAATCTGCGGCATCGCAGAAATGGATCCCTCCCCTACCTCCTTGGGATCTTCTCTTTCTCCGTTCGTCCGGTGTGGGAGCCCCAGGAAAGAGGGGCTCTCAAGAACCCCCCCTTGTTCTTGCTCGATCTCTAAAGCCATATATATACCACCACTTCGTGGTAGCATCCTTCGAGAACGAAACCTTGTCCGCCACATCGCGAAGACAAAATTCGTAGGAGGTCCAGTGGATCAGGACCTGAGTGCATTGTGCGATCCAAGACCAACACCCCCAGATAAATGAACACCACGTGGAAGGATACTGCAGATTAAGGTGATTGGATTTCCTACAAAAAAGGTAATTTTCTCTCTCAAATTAAAAAAAGAAAAAATACTCTGCTCTGCGACCGTTTACAAAATTTTCCCCCATTTGTTCGGAAACTTTTTAAAAATTGTTAATGCAAATTTTGATCGTTTTTAGATGATTTCGCGGTACCAAATTTTGTGCGCGATCCTGCTGTTCGGCGCGATTATGCTGTACCAAGCGATGGCGGTAAGTGCCCTCAAGGAGCTTTGCTCTAAGAAGTAGGCCCGCAAAGTCGAGCGATTGCGCAACGCTCGGGACACAATACCTTTACGAAATCGGTGTTGAATTAAACAGAGAAATTATTATATTCATCGCGTTTTCTCACGTGCAACAACGACAGAGGGAGGAGGCTATCTTCTCGCGTCATCTTCGCCAGGTGGCACCGTTAAGTAATTCATTAATTACTCGTCTTGCGCAGACTCGCGTACGTGCTTTCACGCGCACAATCCGCGCTTCGTTACGCGAACTCGTGCAGACAGCATCGGTTAAAGTTTCCGTGTCTCCTCTGTCATTGTTACCGCGAGGTTGCGCAATTCCAACGAAACAATTCGCGAACGCCGCATTCGATCCTCCGAATTACGAAATCGATCCGTTGGCAATATTTTTTATACGTTGCTCGATCGACAGGCGATCCTGCGAGCGTCCAACCGCGAGCGTATTCATTTTCACCGGAAACGATGACCGTGAACGCGGATCGAAACGGAAGAGGATGGGAGGGAACCAAATTTTCAATGCCGGCAGCGGTCAGATAATTGAAAATGATTAATTAATTAGATAATTATTATCGCGTTCACGGTACGCGCCTCCAGAAATTCTCATTTTAATCATCGTCTCCAAGATTTCCAACGCTTTTGCGTCGTTAATTGATCTATCAAATTTCAAGAATGATCTAGGTCCTGAAGTGTAGGTGCAGTTAGTGGAACGAAACCCTGCCCCATCGAGGTAACCGAGTAATCTTTTCACCTTTTTATCAAAATTACCGGTCGAGAGGGTGGAGGCCATGTTTTGCGGTCGCGCGCGTACCATTGGATGGGAGATCGAATACAAAGGCGGAGAGATGCGCATCCGCTTGCGGGGAACAATGTAACCCGACTTCCGGTCAGACATCGGCACGTACACGCACCGGACTGGCTCGATCCGACGTTTCGCGTGTCGCAACGGCCTCATTTTTTCTCTTCTTCTCGTTTTGACCGATAGCCAATTGCGAAAAAGATCTCACGGAGAGATCCCCTTGGTAGCCTCTCTAGGGTCTAGACGTTCTTTAGGAGCTGCTCGGATCGTTAACCACCGTACGAGGAACAGGAACACGCGTTTTAACCCTTCGCTCCTCCCACCGGAAACGCGTCCAGCTTCGCCTCGAACAACTTCTTCGCTCGTTTAAAGATTCGCTTATAAGTTTGTCCGACGCGCTAACGAGGTAATTAGTATCCGATCGCGGCCAGTAAGCATCGCGAGGAAACGCGACTTGGACCGTGCATCCTCGCTCGGTCCACATTCTATTGTGAACAACGATACGTGACGAAATTTATACCGTTTCGTCAGAGTTACGACAGAATCGCAATGCAAATAACAAGTTTCTTCTCAGTTGCACCTCCCGACTAATTGCCTTTGTTTCCGAGTGAAATCGAGAAGTAATTCACACAGTGTTCCTATGAATTTTAATAAAATGATAATTCGATCTTCCGAATTCACGGGAGATCTTGATGAGCGCGGGAAACGTTACGCTAGAACCGTCAATTTCTATGGAATAATTAGGATTAATTGAATTATTACAAAGTGGGATTTTACCAACGTTCCAGCAAGTAGACGGTTACACGCCTGGTGTTGACTACCCGATCTACGACTCTGTACCCTTCGGCCTCACGTTTACCTGCGGAGGCAAGTTACCTGGCTATTACGCCGACCCTGAAGCCAGATGTCAGGTGAGTTCTCTTCTGTTTTACCTGTTATCGACACGATTCGCAATTATTTCAATGCCTATCGTTTCAGGTGTGGCACTGGTGCTTGCCAAATGGAAGACAATTTAGCTTCCTTTGTCCAAACGGCACCGTTTTCAACCAGTCGGCGCGCGTCTGCGACTGGTGGTTCAAAGTATGACATCTCTATTCGTTCGTTCTCGAACCATTTCAAATCTATTTTCCTTTCAGGTCGATTGCAACGACTCGCCAAGATTGTACGGTATCAACGACGACCTGTACAGGGACGTAAACGGAAACAAGATCTAACGCTAGTCGCAGTATCCAAAGAACAATCCTGTACAGTCTTAACTTTAAATAAGAATCGTCCAACGTGTCGTGAGTTCCTAGCTTGCCGACGGAGAAGCGTTCGAGCAGCACGCTGCTATACTCTCCGATGCTAAATTACACGACGCTCGTCCGTTTATAAGATGTATCTCGTAGATAGACGCTCAGGATTCTATTCACGCGTGCATTTCCATAGAATCGTTCAAACTGTATCGCGCAATCTGTTTCCCACAGACCGAAGCTGAAATTTATAACCGATTTCGATTTTTCAATAAAGAATAACAGACGCATTAATTTCCTCCTTTCGTGAATGGTGACCGAGTTTAATCTCGTTAGTAACGATGTTCTTTCGTCGTTGCAAAAACGTGGTAAATTGTTAGGAAAAAGGTGCAACACACAAGTCGAAATCGCATCGGACAATTTCTTGGCATGATTGGACAATAGAAAGTGAGTGGTCACGAGCGGCCAGTTCCCTACCTTTTCTCCGTCAAACCTTGCCTTCGTTGCTACACTTTTCCATCTGTGTTTTGCATGCACAGAATATTTTCTGTCCCTCGTTCGATTGGTAACGGATCCAACCCCCGAGCCAACAGGCTGGTTAAAAATCGGCAACGTCTCCGATTAGAACGTCGATTAATCTATACACGACGTAAGAATTTCGATGGATGGTTATGTAAATCTGTAGAAATTTGACGCGCCCATTTACGAAACTTCGACTTCCGTTTAGAGGACACATTTTTTAGAGCAGCAAGGCCAAAGTCACCGCGTTATTCCGATTGCGTCCGGCGACGGTGCGGGCATAATAAAGAAATATCGATTGCATCGCTTCCGTGTAATCGCTAGGATATCAAAATTTGCATAGAACGTTCCAGCGTTGAAATTCCACGCCCGAGACGCTCCCCGAGCAGATCATCGGCGCAAATATCACGGGCCTACCTAACGCCTCGTCCTGAAATTCTCGACGATCCTGTTTGAAAGATCAACAGGCGTGACGCCAACCTGTCGCAAATGCGGGACACCTTCGGTGCAACGAGTTTACGCGCGAGAGCGCCAGTCGAATCTTGCAACTTTGCTTTAGATAGAGCGGGGCTCTCGCTAGGTGGACAACAACCTCTGGACGCGACCTCGTTTCGAGGAGTAAAACGCGAAAAAAAAGAAGGGCATGCGTCGACCTTGAGTCTCGTGAAGAAAGGACTCGATGTCCTTAGGGAAAGCGATGAACTTGGAAGAACGGCTCCGTTCACGGACACTGTGCTGGCGTAAACACTTCTGATTATTATTCAAAATTCCAGCGAGAAACGTTTCGACACGGATTTCCTCGTTGACGTAAATTCCCGCAAAGAACACTTTCTTCGGTAGCGACAACTTTATCCAGACTTCGACCCTGAAGGTAATTTATCGAAAAGTCGAGACGCTTTTTCGAATCCTCGATTGCGAAAGACGATCTCGCAAGCGTCACGGGAAGCAGAACTTCCTATTTCTTCATAGGCAAGAAAACAACGAAGATCGGTATCGTCGAATGATTCTCGAGGCGCGATTTTTGTCCTCGTCGATGGAATGGATCGTTTCGCTTTCACCTCGTTTCTAAGATCGATCTTTCGAAAAGTTTGATCACGGATAATCTGTCGAATGGGTTCGGTCGAATGCTGAACAAGAGGATACGCTAATCGGAATCCCCTGAAGGCGGTTAAAGACCTTTGCCGTCTTTTAAACAGCGTCACCCACCCTTCGAAAAATCGAGCGATCTTCGGAGTAAAGGTAATAACGCATTGTCCTTCTAAACGCGTTGAGAGTCAAGTTTGAAAGGTTCAGCACGCCGTTGCCGCGAGGAGTTTTATTCGCTTTGGCTATCAGGTGGCGACGCAGGTGCCTTCTCGCGACAAAGAGCCTTTCCCTCGGTGGGGCCTGATTTTTCACTCGACGTACGCCAATGCGAGGATCGCCAAGACGCCTATGCCCGTTCCAGCCCCCTCTTCGACCTTATCCTCGCTCGTAGAAAGCTCGATCAGACGACGTTGGCCGGAGCACAACGCTCCTGCCGCTGGCTTTTCCACTTCCATCGCGCAGTCTCCTGGCCGGACCGGACGACGCGGTCTTGCCCTGAACCTCCGAACGCGCCGATTCAACCGGTGATACTTCTCGAAAATTCCACGATCGGTCCACCCCCGAGTTTACGTCGAGATCGCTCGAACGAGCTTCTTACTCGCGATCGTTCGCTGGCAAACGCGAGTCGCAGCGGTGTACAGGTGCGAGAAATATATTTGGTGCGCGTATAGATGTGAGGAAGGTGCTTTCATGAGGAATTAACGAAGACTCAGCGGAGCCAGAGACAGGTCTGTTTTGTTTCTTTTTGATTAATCTCTGAAAGGCTCGAGCTACGAAGAAACCACATACGGAGTAAAATAGCGGTTTCGATTGTTGCTCTTTAAACGAGGGTTGGGTTAACATCGGCGAAAGTAGCGGCAACTCCTTCGCTATTTATACGCTGCCTTCTTTCCTGCCGTTGAATCTAGACGAAATTCAGATTACCCAAGCGACAGGGTAATCACTGTGTATTATCCGTGGAAAAAAGTCGGCGGCTTCTGCTCAGAATGTCAGCGTTTTTCTTGCGACAATCCCTCCACGTGAGCGTTCCAGCAAGCCGTACCTCGCGGCTAGTGAAACCGCTCGAGAGAACTCACTCCGCCCGATATAGTCGAAAAAAGAACAGATTGGAAGCGTAACGCAACGCTCTGGTATTTAGACGCGCGAAATTTTCGTAAGAAGAGAAAACTACGAGCGTGAACGCGTGCACGCGTGCTTCGAACGACGTCCTCGATCGACCACGTTTCGAATTTACGCCGAGAAAAAGAAATTCGCGGTGAACTCGATTTCGCGTTATCGAGCAAGATTCGCGAGCGGGTCGCGTGACAAATGTACCACGCACGAATTCGTGAAAGGACGAAGCAGAGATAAAAACGCTTTCAGGACTTTCGCCGAATATCCTCTTGTTCCCTTTTTGCGATCGAGGCACGTTTTTTCGCGTCAAGAAGACGGTGAACTGGTTCTATCGTCGAATTCGTCGTTCATTAAACTTTCCATTCGGTTTCTTGCCACTCGGGAAGCGAACAGCGCGACTCCTACGCCCGTCACGAGTTTTTTATTCGGGTGAAAGGAAAAAAAATATTCAACGTATTTTGGTGAATCCTCGGGACTCGAATTTCTATTCCGCCATCGAGGAATCGCCGCTCTAGCGAGCAGAGAGTTTCGTTTTAGGAAACGCACGGTCGGTGCACGTGTTAAGAGCACGCGATTCGATACCGCGTCGAGGAAAAAACGCAATTCGAATACGACATAGAGCCTCGTTTTCCGTTTAGAAGAGACGTCTCTAGAAGATAAGGTTTCCGTGCTTAAGATCACGACTCGAACGTCGTGACTCGATTCCATTCTCGAGCCATAAAACGAATTTACGCTTCCATACAACTCGTAACATAATATCGTCGACGAGTTACGCGACTTACGACACCGCATCGGTAAAGAGGCGAGCGTAATTTAACCGTTAATCGAGTCGACGAGTCTCGTCTTCGATTTTTATTACCGATCGGTGGAAATTAACGGACCGATCCTCCTGAACGATATATCGAACGCTTTGTCGGTTTATCCCTCGCGGTTTTCCGTAACCTCGACAGTGCTTTAAGCAACCGCCACTCTCCTTCTGTGTTTCTAGGTCTGTCTCCCTTTCTTTCCTTCTCTCCTTCCTCTTTATTGCATTCTAACGCGTCCACGTTCACTTTCGATCGACGGATTCCGTGGCCGATTGTGCACGCGTTCGAAAGTGAATTTAATTTGCTAGGCGGCCTAATTACTCGCGGACCACGAAACCGCACCCCAAAAAACTCCAAGGTAACTCAAGACTCCACAACCTTTTATTTACACCCATCGAACTTGTTTGCCAAACACAAATTATTACGTCTAAACACAAAATAAGTAACAGATTGTTACGCGTACTAAATCCAGTCACGAGTAGGCGATAGTCGAGCGAAAAGATTATTACGTAATCCGTGGACGCTTTCGCGGGCTCTGTTCACGCGTTGTCCGATATTTTAACGGATCTTTTTCAATAAACGATAGAGCGCGAGCCGCGTTACGACACGAGAACGAGCGTCGTTCGGCCGCGGTCTGCTTTCTCCGACTATACGCCGCCGGAAAAATAAACGAGCTACTTGGTCGTAATCGAACAGCCGGGATAGTTCTAATCGAGGGTCGTCGATTCGCCGCGAAATTCGAACCGCGATCCAACGAGATTCCGAACCGGCGAACGAACCGCAACCAGCGCGTACTTTTCACTGCGTAATTGGACAACCGCGAAGAAAAGTTTCGTCATACGCGGCTTCCTTTAAATTCATTTTCTTCGACGATTCGATCTCCGTTACCGAAAGGTTAACCACGTTCGCGTGGAACACGACTGCAATTGAGGGCTTCTCTATTTCTGCGGTTTTGCGAGACCGTGAAACCGCGTCCTCTTAAACGATCCTCGCGGAATACCGTCGGTATCTTTGAGCTGTCTACAGTTTCGAAATTCTATTTCCAAGAATTTTCGAAAATTGTCGATGGCCAGAGGCGCAACCAATAATTTTGCGAAACAGGAGATAGGTGAAAGACGCGTTCGAACGTTGTTCCTAGCCGTAGGAGCGAAATTTGACCATCGCTTTCGAAACGAGACACAAAGTGTGTCATAGGCTGTTCTACGAGACACGCGTGAATATTGCGCGATACTTTCGATGATGCCTCCTCGATCTGTACCGATGACTTTCCATCGAATTATCCCTGACAAACCGCGACGTTAAAAGGGAAATTGACAAAATCTAAGTCAAGAGCTTGCAGCTGTTCCCCAATGGTTTTTCGTCCCCATACGTGACAGTATAATTTATAAACTTCACTGTAATTTACGATGCCGGTAGGAAGCAGCGGAAAATATCTCTCGTACGATTCAGCATCGGTCTCGTTACTCTCTCGACGGGTAATTGCGACTCCCGCGGTAAAGAAAGACGAGAGGTAACGACTTCGCGACACATTAATTGCTCTAATTATACATGGAAGTCTTTCTCTTTCGAGATTGAAATTCGTGGAAGAAGAAGAATAGTCCAATTTCCTAGTTTCTTTCCTGCGGTTTAGCGATTACGAACGCTGGATTACAAAATATTCAACAGTGACGAAACTCCTGGACTACCGTATCGAAAAACGTGGGTACTCGCTAAATCTTGTCATCGCTCGGCGACGAAAAACCTCGCAGCCTTGCACGGAGACGATCGTTAATTCCGAAACCATAGCGTTCTAACCGCGATGGCAGGCTTGCACAATGCGCCGATAAAACGTCGCGAACGGTGCGTTCCGCTCGGATAAATTTGATTCGCGACAGAGAGTGAAATCATTTATTCCGAAGCCGGTTCTCACCGAAGCAAAAGCAAAACGTTCACCGCCGTTGCGGAAAATCTTATCGAGCTTATCTAGTTCGAAGGAACTTTGATTCCTGGTTGAACGAACTCGAGCGGAAAACCGGCGAATTTAGGTACGAACTAACAAGACGATCGAGGCAACGATTATCGCCGATGAATGAACGCCGCGGGCGATTACGTAAGACGACCGCTTTTACCCCGAACACGAAACCGATTATGTTTACCGAAAGATCCCTGCGGCGCGTACTTACGCGGAGAAACGAGCCTCGAAGTTTGAAGCATCGAGGACCGAGAGGAAGTCGGAACTACATTTCGAAATTCTAATAAGAGAAATCGTATCGTTTTCTCAAAAATTTCGAGCCAATTTTATCCTGGTTCGGATAATTCTGGCGCCTTGACACGGAAAGGCAGCCAGCATTAAGGCGCACCTCCGTGACAACACTCGATTTTTACGTCTCGAGTAGGAAATCCGAGAGAAACGTCCGAGAATGAAGTTTGCAACCTAATTTCGATGAAAACCGATCGCAATCGTCTTCCATATTCCTCGAGCAAGTATCGTACACGTTCGCCTGCACAATCGAACGCTTTCTACATACAAAACAGCGATCCATCTGACACGAGGCGACGTCAAAGATTAACGACGCGAAGGAAAAGCACGTTCATAAGCCAGCCGTGGCGCACGAGAATACCCTTACGAAATATCGTCTACTTTTCTCGCAACAAAAGCAGCGGACGAACAGACTCGATCTACCGCGAATTACGTGGCCATATGCTGGAAATGCAACGAGCCAACCAGAAGTTACAGCGCCGGAGAAGGCGTTCTGGTACATAGATTATGATGAACATCGCGCTTATCCGTAGACCGATCAGCATTAATATCTGGCAAGCGTGTGAAACGCGATTTCCTTCTTTTTCCTCGTTTCCCTACGATCTGTTTCTTCGCTCGACTGCCCCGTGTTTGACCTCGGCCGATTCGCGTTATCGGTATGTCGAGTACAGGCTTATCGAAGGATAATCTGAATCGACGAGAAAATCTGCTCGACTGCGGCGAGAAAGTAAATGGCCTCGCTACGAAAAACTTCGCAGTGGAATGTCTGATCGCGTCGAATGGAATCTACTTCGAACGCATCGATAAACGTCTCGGCTCGATCCGCTTTTTCTACCGCCGAATGATCGATGTTTCTGGTTTCCGGTGAACGAGAAACTTGGTTCCTCGCGTGTACAGCGACGCAATGAGACCCGACCATTAGACAATTCTCACGTTCTGCTTTTAAAAGTGATTGTTCGAGAGTTCGCGCGGACAGAAACTCGCTCGAGAAACGCTACGCCGAGGAAAATAGCTCGGAACACACGCGGAACTTGGCTCGCGTCATCGACGGCGCTTCTTCCCCGGCAATTTAATTCGATAACGCAATATCGATAGAGGCGTTGGAGCAGCAAGCACGAGGAAATGAAAGCTTGTTGCACCAACCTGTGCCGCTTTTGAAGGCTATCGAGTTTCGTAACCACGCCTTCGCGCATTGTCGATCTGAAAAATCGTCAATGTCTCGAGACACCTCTCTAATGGGTCAGAATTGTCTTCGAAGAGATTCGAACGTGATGAAATTTATTTGGAGAATTTCGAACGAGCGGAAAGTTTGAAGAGAAACGAAGAAATAAGTGATTACGATGCGTTTAAGAAAAGAATCGATGAAGCCAGCGGCAGTCATCGTTTCCGGTGACCTTTAGCGGGATGACCGTTACGCGTGTCGTAACGTAACGTAATTTACCGTAAGGTAACGTTACGAGACTAGCGTTCGTGCGCGAGTCGATAAAGTGGAATCCTCTTAACTTCGACGTTTTTAAAACGTGTGATTCCGTGGGAAATGTAGATTTTACGATATTTACGAAATTGCTCGTCGCGTAGTGGTGCCGTACGATTTCCGTACGGAGCGAATTCCTAGCCTGAGAACTGTACTCGTTGTGACACCAAGGAGGATAACTTGTGTAACCGATTCTCAGTTTCTGCTGGTAGCGAACATCCTCCTCCTTTTCCTGCCGCTTTTACGAACTGTAACGTCTGCGAATTGGAGCGCGATAGAGCGCTTAATTAATGCGAAAATATGCCGAGTGGTCTACATTTTTCAGCAAACAGATTCCGATCATCGATTACATTTAGCGTTTCTAAAATCTTCGAGAACGTTGTTTAAATCGCTACCAGACGAGCCAAAGCGTTGCAGATACCACGTCGCTTTGCTCTGTTTCGTTGGGGAAAGAGCCGAGATCGAACGCCGAAGGTCGCCGAGTAAATCCATCGGAATACACCCAGCTGAAATATTTGCCGGTAACCTGTACCGCGTTCCCTTCCCTCTCTTGACATACTATTTGCTCTTGCAAGGACGGAGCACCGTCGAAAGGGTCTCTTTTTCGAGTCCGGAGAAAACGCCTCGATGGCGTCTTCTCTTTGTTTTAATAATTAATAGAAGCAACACGCAGCAATGACGACAAAGTCACACCCGGTATTACGTGATCGTGCATTTATATAACACCCACATTATCCTTGCATTATATGGTTAGCAGCGGTGACAGCACAGAGAAAGTTCCTAACCATTCCCATATGCTCGAGCCTCTGTACCGGTCTACGTTCTCGCCGTACTATACGTCTCGATCGTACGACTCAATATCGAGGCTATAGACAGCAAATACCGTATAATCCGAACGCAAATTTTCAGCCGTTACGAAATACTTTTACGTAGAAATTCATGGGAAACGTTTTTGCTTGTTGCAGTAGCACCAATATGCGGGAGAAAAGGTGGCTTCTGCTCGCTCTGTGTGGTAAGTGTACAAAACAAGACCCCGATGCAAAACTTCTGGATGGAAATAAAAGTCTCGAAGCTCCGCCGAGCTTAGTTTGCTCTTTTAAAACCCGCAGTGGAATGTCGAAGACAGCGGTCGACCTTCCAGGCGTTTTGCATCTGAAGGTTCGTTCACACCGGATCGATTTGGATGGAACACGATCGAACCCAGACGCTAAAAATCCTGGCGCTTCGTATTCACGTCGCAGCGAACGGAGACTCGTATGACGCGAAACGAGCCTCGCGAAAAGATTCCACGAAGGAAAAGATGAACCCGTCGCGCATATCAAGGAGGTCGCTTCCTTTGTCCCAGCACGGTGCAAACCGACCACCGACTCCGAAATTCCCGATCGAAAGGCTGGAACACCCGGACGGGTCGAGTAAACAACTTCGAAGGACACGCTTTCCGCTAACTTTCATAATATTATCGCGGAAAGCAAAACCGCTTAGGCACGATTGCTATCGTAACGGCGCGGCATTTTAAAAACAGGCAGGTGACGTGACGCCGACTTTTATCGCGGTTCCTGACATTTTCACCCGTTCGACGAGTGTTCGTTGCTCGGCCGTCCACGGACATTCGAGGCCTTCGAAAACTCGTTTGAAAGCTATCGAACGGTACGGTACCCTCTACGGACGGCTTCAGAATCTAAAAAATTTCCGTCGCGACAAATCGTAGTCCACGCAAACGATCCTGACCTTCGTTCATCCGCGATTCAATCGAAGGATCCACGGGAATCGCGTTGCAAAACGAAGCCAATGTCGCCACGCCCTTTTTTAATGAAAATGTCGAGACGTTCCCACCCCAATGGGAATCGACCAAACAATCGACGACGTATGATCGAGATGAAGCAATTTGTTTACGTACGGTACACGAATCGGCGTTGTTTCGTCACGAAAACGTTACGATTCCAAGAGGGGTGTGCCCACGCGAACGTTTCCCACCAAAGGAACGCGAACTCGTTCCCATAATTCATTTTTATGCAACGTCGTGTACGCTCGTTATCGATCCTTGCTTGGAAAACAACGATCCCGTTACGACCGCTGTTCCACTACGTGTTTTTCAACAACGAGGGCGTCCACTCTCGCGAAAGGTCCGTGAACGGATTCTCGCGCCAAAATTGCTCGAGTTCTGTTTCGAAAGCGATAATCGACGATATGCTTTCGCTCAGGACGAGTTATCCTGTCCGACTGTCGTCGACGTCGACCTTGAACCGGTTTCGAATCAATTACGCGCGCCCTCCGGGCAAAGAATCAGCGTCAATTAACGACGAGTTAACGAGACGTCGTTACGTCGCGATGGAAAGGCGAAGGAGAAAACGTAACGCTGATCGAGCACATTAGAATAGTACGATCTTTGAAAATCATAAATCAACGAAAGTCATCGGATGACAACGATAGACAGCCTTGATCCGCTTGCTAAAACAATTACCCAACCGAACGCGTTCACCTGCGCCGCGAAAATTGCAACACTTTGACGCCGAGACTTCGCTACTCTTCTCGTGCGCGGTTTGCGCAACAACGACGCTTCTTCGTGGTTTGCGCAATCCGTGGATGCGTGCTAGTCTCTGATTATTTATCCTCGCTGTTCGAACGCTTATCCTTAATCGGGAAACGTCTGGACGAATCACCTCGACCAAGAAAACGAGAACGGTTCGCGAGCGGATTTTTAATAATCTGACAATTCCAGGAATCCTACTGGCCAATGCAGTTTCGGCCGCGCTCAAGGCTACACGACCGAAATTCAAGATCGCCACGACTTCGACCACGACAACGAGCACCACCGAAGAAAGTCATGCACGCGAAAACGAGAACGAGGATACAGAGGTAAGGCTCGATTTTACGGCCAAGAGATCGAGGCAGTTTTTACGAAGGCGTCTGTTTGAATCGTGACACGATACATCGCATCGGCGAACGCGTGCCACGTTAAAGCGAGACGCAAACGATCACGATTTCATCGTTTACCGGTACAGGAATAGAACGAGCGACTCGTTTACCGTCGATGATGCAAATCTGATGATGCACCGGTCGCGTTATACCACGCGTCCGTTCCTATTTTCCAGTTGCATCCTCGCTTGATTAATCACGGTACAGAAGCAAATACACGACGGCTAGTTTTTTTCTAATACATCCGTAATCATCCGGCGTTGTTCGATTACAACGCGAGGTTTAATTAATTGACGTCGAGCTAAGACAAGCTGACGAGTACGACACAGGTTTACCTTCGTAGCTCGCGGTAATTCCACGAGGCGATTAACTCACGAAGAATGCCCGTTTCTATTTTCCTCAGGTGACTACGACGGTGGCCAGCGAGACGAACGGGACAACGGGTCACGTTCTCACCGGGATTCCGCAGATCGATTATATCTGGGATCCAAATTTACCTCGCGAACTGAACGGCTACAACCTCAGCGACTATCCGTTTTATAACAGCATACCGGAGGACATCGACTTCAAGTGTGACGGCCTGCACGACGGGTTCTACGCGAGCGTGCCTCACAAATGTCAGGTGAGAAAAGTGACACTTTGTAATTATCGGAGCTGTAAGTTTGCCGGGGTTTTCGACGATTCTTGAAGGAGAAACGCGCGTTCGATCCACTTTCCGTTCCTCGTGGTTTGCATTCGGGACGGTGTCCAGCCTTTTTAATTAAGGCTCGCCGTTTCAAGACCTTGTCGGAACAAAATGAGCACTCGGAGCGCCATCGGGAACGCGAGTCGCGTAAAAAAATTGTACGACGAAGGACGAACGGATCCGTGCGGGAAAGCACCTGTTGCCACTGGACCGGACACGTTCCACGCGGTGATCAGCGACCATTTTAGACTCGATCTAATAAGGTGCAGTTTCTCGAGTTCAATCAGCCAATACCGGCGCATTCTCTACACGGCTGGTATCAATCTCTGTCTGCTCTCGCGCATTTGCGTAATAAACGCCAAGTGTCTGCGAAAAGAGAAGGTAACCATTCAGCGGAATATTGTTTGACTATGCTAATGTGAGCCGTAAACCCTAATCCTTCTTACGCGGAATCCTTTAGAAACACCGTACAGCCAACTTGTGTAAAGGCATATTGCCAGGATCACTTTTTCGTGCGTTGCAATTATGAGCTAAACAGCATATAAAAGTTGATAATATTCCGTAATTGGCTGCTTCGAAAAGATAAAAAAAAAGCCTGCACTCGTTCTGGAAACCCGTTCGTACATCAAGAAACTCGGAACGGATCGGGAGCAACGCAAGAGTAAAAGTGGGTATCGTGACCGTTCTAGTGAAAAGGAAAGTCAGTGTCATCTGGATAAATGCCGGAGAAAGATTTTCTGACAAGGCGTATCGTCCACTCGCGTAATGAACGGACGTCAACGATCCATGACTGCGGTTCCCCCATCTCATCGGCGGAACGGACATCGATCCAAGTCTGGCCTTTCGGATTTCTTCCACGGATCACGAAGAACGAGAACGACTGCGAGAATTCGATCGACAACGAAGGAAGGAAAGTTATCCGAAGGAAAAGCGTGAAAGATGACGCGAAGTCGCAGAAAAAGCTCGAAGAATAGAAGAGGAGTTCCGCGGTTCGATACACTTCCTGTCCCTGACCGTTTCGGGATTCACGCGCGTCGATCTTAGAATTGTGAAAGCGATTGCGACGTATCCCTTTCCCGACGTTCCTTATCGATTGTTTTCGCCGGCCGAGTGGGCCATTGTCATGCAAATGTGTGCAAACTAGCTTCCTCTGAATCCGACATTCGGCGAGGAAACAAACTGCGAAACGCTTTGTCTTGTACGGCAACGGGAAAAGCAAATTATACCGTTCGACCCGCGTTCGGCTCCATCGAATCCGCCCGAGCCAAAATCGTTCTCGCGAGTCAGCGTGTCCAATCGACTGTTAAGCGAGCGGTAAACGCTGGTCTGACATTTAACCGGCAAAAGTTGAGCAACCGTCGCGATTCGTTATCGAGAAATCGGTGGACCGAGCCAACTCGAGGCGCTTTTGGAACACCGATCCCGAGCCAGCGCGTTTCATACATGCAAATAAGAAACAAGCTACTTCCTGCAATCTAGCTCACCGGGGACATCCGCTTTCCAATAAAATCACCAAAGCATAGAGAAACTCCGCGTCGCTGACGTGCGGTAAACACGCGAAAAGGAAACAAATAGACGAACGAGGGAAAGATGATCGATGTCTGCGAATCCGTTCAACGATGCTTCGTGTCAAGTTACTAGCTCGGGAGAAACGAAATCGAACGTTTGAACGAGCCAGGACGTGCTCTGAATGATTTCAGATGATTCCTTTAGATAATCCAACACGATACGTGCCAGACAAACGTAGAGACTTGTACAGAGACAACTTACTCGTACGTACAATAGCGCAACGTATATTCGTGTACTCTCTAAGCAATTACTGGCGCACGCGTAGTCGCGGTGTGAAAGCTACTACTGAGTCTAGCAATATCGAGCATCTGCGTTCGGTGAAAAGTGTGTTACTTTGGCGAAAAAACAGTAGTTCTCGTCTGCTCGCGAATAACGCGTTTCTTTTTTTTTTCAAGGTGTACCACCACTGCCTATTCGGCACTCGATACGACTTCCTATGCGCCAACTTCACGGCTTTCGACCAGAAAACCTTCATCTGCCACTTTGTCTCCGAAGTCGACTGCGCCAATTCGAAGAAGTACTGGCACAGAAACGATGCCCTTTACAAGGCAACGACGACTTCCACCACGTCCACCTCGACGACGACGACGATGGCGCCGGTGACGGTCGCCACGGGACGGCAAGCGTCGAGAGACAGGGACCTACCGAGACGAAGAAGGCCCTTCAGACGACGACCAGCCTACGACTACTACGACGAAGAGTACTACGATGACGACTACAGTCGCCCGCGTGGCTACGGCAGAGACGATTACGATTACGAGGACAGAAAGTACAGAAGAGACCGAGATCGTGACTTCAGGGATCGAGATCGCGAATTTCGAGACAGGGATACCCCCAGGTCCCGCGACGGTGTCGCCAGGGACGATAGGGACCGCGAGACGAACGCTAGAGACAGATATTCGGGTAGAAACAATAGAAGAGATTCTACCAGACTGAGGGATCCTCTGGAAGAAGACACGAGGGTCAGATCGAGAGATCCTGATCAAGAACCGCGGTCTGCATCTAGAGAAAACGATGACGCTGAGTTGGACGATCGACGAATCGAGTCTCGAGTCAGAGACACCGATGATCGTCGATACTCGGACAAGAGGTAAAAATTTCTCGTACTTCGCTCGTAAGAGGTTCTTATCGAGCAGTGTTTGCAGGTACAAGGACGAATACGACGATAAAGATCCTGTTGCTCCACCCGCGAACGGCGAGAGCTTAGTGAAGCCCGCAGCACCCGCTGCGTCCGTGTACTCGAGACCGAGAGCTCCTCCGAAAATTCGAAGACCGGTACCGCTTTCTGAACAGGATAAATACGCGTACAAATCTACCGCTGTTCAATCCACGGGTAATTCTGCGCTGCTTAAACCTCGAAATAGTTGTTTGCGCAAACGCGTTACGCTCGTTTACGTTCGTTGCAGAGGAACCACGAAGAAGACCGTTGGACGTTGCGGAAGACGATTATTACGACGATGAATTGGAGGATGTTAGGCCGATTCGAAGACCGCTGAGAAGAAGACCCTCTTACAGAGACAGGGATAGGGACTTTTACGATGTCAGAGACAGGGAAAGGGACCGACCCTTCAGGTAAGGTAACGTACGTACACAACACTGAAACGATTATATTCGTACGTCGTAACCAATTAATCGGTTCAACTGATCGCACGTAACAAAAGATAACAGTGTCTAACTACATGACTACATGGTACTGACTACATCGTATGACTAAGTACATGGTACTGACACAAAACCATAAGAAACTAACACGATCGCGTGTAGTAAATATCCTTGACGGATTCGTTGATTTCAGACCACGATATCGGGACGACGAGGACGATTTGCGACCTAGGAAACACCCGGATCGTTCGAGGGATCGCTATTACGATCGGGACAGGGATCGTGGCGTGGACCGCGGAAGAGATCGATCCCTCGACCGTGGAAAGGATCGCACCGCGGACAGATCGCTGGATCGTGATCGAGGAAGGACGCAAGACGATAAGCAAGAGAGACCGCACTCGACCCGACCTCTGGACAGGGAGAGGGACACCGATCGATCCCGAACAGGATCAAGATCGAAGGATCTGCAAGACACCACGGATGCATCGGTTAGAAGAGGCAGTGCTTACGATCGTACCGATAGAACAACTGCCGTTGCAACGGCAACCACGTGTCTGCCCGAGCAACTCGTACATAAAACCGAATCGACCACGAAAGAAACCGTGAACGATCGCTCGGAGAAATTGACTTACACGGAGAGGCCGTCCAAGCAGGAAGAAGAGTCTCGTCCAACGAATCAGCAAACGGACTATCAAGAGAGGGACCAAGACGAAAGACGAGAGCAGCACTATCAAGAGGAGTACTCGCAGGAGTATTACGACGAGCCAGAGGATACACCAGCTCCACCTCCGCGGACGGCAGTTCGGATCGTGAAACGTCCATTCTTGCCATCCAGAGGAGGCAATCCGAACCCGCGAGGTTTGGCACCGGTAGGTGCGAAAGCGACCACGCCTAAACGCGACGAGGAAAAACCAACGGAACGAACCACCGTTCTGCAAGAACGACAGAAAAGTTACTACGCACATCCGACTACGCAAGAGAATGCCCAAGAATTGAATCGCGAATCTAAAGCGCAGCAACGAGAAAAAGAACCTTACGATCCGTACAAGAGCATTCAGATAGAGAACCAACACGAACGGAGACCGGACGAATACGATACGTCGGTAACCAGATCCTCGACTCGAAAGCCTACCGATAGACAACGAGAGGAGGAGACGCAAAAGTCTATGGCGGAAGACGAGTTCGTCACGGGTTCGAAACACGAACAGGAAGATTCGCAGAACTACGACGAAGGATTAGGTAAATGGACCAACGAGGAGTTCTCGAATCCTCCGCAGAACGAAGGAAACTCGCAAACTTCGACTCGTAACAAAGGGAGAATAGCGAACGAGAACGTTTATGAAGTTCAGGAACACCCGACGAGTCCTCAAAACTTCCGAGTGAAACAAAGAATCAACGAAGTGACGCATCGGCTGCAAGATATTCCAGAAAGCGAGTACGATGTCACGTTGAACGACGCCTTGACGCCTACGTTGAATCAGGAAGCGAACTTGCCAAGTGGATTCGTGCTGCCCCTGCACAGACAATTGGGAAGGGACGCGGCACTCCAGCCGACTGAAAACAATTATAAGGTCTCGAGACCGGTCAATCAACAGCAGAAACCGTTCGTGCCTAGTCCTCAGTTTTTGCCTACGGTCAACAGCAACAACGACAGATTAAGGACCGTGTACTATAGAACACCCGAGACCATTCAAATTAGCGGAGCACAATACAGACCGCAAAGAGGATCATGGCACGATTACACCGGTTATTGAATTCACTCGATTCGAGACTCGGACAAGCTTTGAAATTTTACGAAATTAGGCGCGTACAATTTCATTGTAAATCAATGAGATTCGATCGCGGTAACTAACGATTATTTGGAGGACCTCCTCTTCGAATTGGACCTTTGGTCACGCTTTTCGATGTCTTTCACGTCCTACGGGGAGATACGGTCTCCTAAACGATGATCATGACAAACGAAATCCACGTAAAACATTTGAACCTTTCAATTGGTAATTCAAACTTCCATCGGAAGAAACGATCGGAGGATATAATACTCTCGATGATTCCTTCCTATTTCACCTCTCTGACGTTATCCTAATCAATATTATCACGGTGGTACGTTTATAGAACGAATAAAATTGGGTCGATGGTATAAATCATCTTGCAATTTCTACTTTCGGTTAAACTTGTAAATACGCGCACGATTATATCATTCTTGCGAATTAAATTATTGTCCGCGCGGTGCACGCACGCGCAAACGATCGTTCACGAAAGCACATTCGTCGTCTCGATTATTATTATCTTTTTTCTTCGATATCAGTAGCGAATAAGTTTTCTCGAGTATAATTGTAAATTATCCCAACATTGACGTACGATATTAAAGAGTGAAAATAAAGTATACAAGTTTATTCTTCACCAAACTACAACTTTTTATTTCAACTTCGTTACGAACATTATTCACGGATGAAATTGTTCCTAACTCGTAGCCAATATGCTCGATATTATTTGAGACACAATCTTCATATCGTGAGCACAATATGTGTTTCAAAAAATACCGATTGACCAGATCTCGCCATGAGGAGGTCGGAGACCCACGAAGGTTTGATGCGTGAAATTTAAATTGCAGGAGAATGAATGACGGTAACAGAAATGATCAAACAAGCAGGATGATTATGGAAGTCGAAGGAACAACCGGTTCGCAGTTATTTTCTTTATTTTCTATTCCATATTTATCCTTATTGAAATATTTACAAAATTCTTCGTTGCGGTCAGCGATGACCTCTAGTTCGGATGATTCATTCAGAACGCATGTTTCAAGACAACCAGGAATCTCTTACAGGATTTGAAAAACAATCACGAGCATAAGATACGAAAGCGATGTTTCGTTGTCAATATAACGGTACATGTAAAATATACGCGTATAATATAGAAAAAGTCGAAGAATAGCACGTAAATATCACCGTTAACAAATTGTGCCACGGAAATGCGATTTAATCGATGGCAAGTATTCCGTCGAAGATAACTTGAAATTCATCACAGAGCAAACATTTACAACTTAACAGAGCCACGTGCACGCGATACAAATCCTTTTAAATACGAAACGAATTACAATATGTTACGAAGCGTTTTTTGCGTTAACGTGACTATAGCTAAATTAAAGGTAACGATGATTACGTTCAGTCAAATTGTCAAATTGCATCGCATAGAAAGCTCTGTAGCAACGAGCGGAGGCTGGTGTCGTTATCGCGTCTGTATCGACGTTGCAAGATGCAAGAGAAATTTCGGCGATACGTAATCGGAAACGATAATTCGCTAGTACCAGTCGCAACGTTTCAATTTGTACTCGCGAACTATAAAAATATGAAATTTCGCCTCGCGACACCGATCGATCTAAAGAGTCTAACGAATCGGAATCGAGCACCGTTCAACTATTACAATTTGCTTCTAGTGCGTAATTCTGTACAAAAATGATAGAGTACAAGAATAGGTTAAATATATATATGTATATGTCGCGTACAATATCCTCTCGCGAGCAAGAGCTTCTTTCTTGTTTAGGAGTATTTATATATATATATATTTATAGACAATGCAATTTTTGTCGGAATCACGGTTACATTATAACGCTACGTAGAAATTAAAAATTGTTGGCTGGCAAGAATGCGCATCCGCGAAATGGCGGGAAATTATTTACAAATTTTGTTATATTACACAAGCGACGTCGAGCGGAACAAAAATGCAAGGTTTCTTTTGGTATAAGTGCGGTAGCTTCTAAACGTCTTGCAGTTTGAAAGTTAACTCGAAACTGCCAACTCCGTTTCGCACGCTTTACAGTCTTCCTTTCCTTCGAATCGGATCAATTCAGTTGCAATAATTTACAGAACAGTAACGGTACGGAAATACTGAAGGAATGTATAGTTCGTGGTTCGGGCGAAAAGATTCGTGCCTCGAATTCTTAACGGTTGTACGAAAGAATGTACTAATTTAGATCCTCGAACCTCTCTTTGGTAAAGTGAAATCAAACGTCGTCGATATATTCTTCGTTCGTAGAGTTATCCTCGAAAGAACAAGACATTCAGAGAGAAAACGATAAAACTTTATCTACGCGATACAACCGGATACTCCAGAAGCCTTATCAATTTGTACAAAATTTCATATACTAAGCAGTAACGGTAGATCGTGGTGCACGTAAAAAAATACAAGATTCGCGGATAATCATGATGCCCGTAATTTGTCGAGAGCACTGACCAATCTTAGATTTAATGTCGAGCGAAAATTCAAGTTAATTACCGTCTTTATACAATGTCGATAGCGCGTAAACTGACCTGTTCTTACGTTAGTATCATCGTAGAAAATTATGCTTTCATGTTCCTAAAATCTATCGAAAACGCAGTCACTTATCTCCGTATTCGTTACAACCATCGTGTATACAGAACACAAAATTAATCGTAAGTAGCAGCGTCCTCGCTTAGACGACTCTCGAGAAGATTACAAATTATCAATCGTACGATCTGGATATACCAGCATAACGCGTCATCGACGCTGCTTTAGCCTCTTAATTCAGTTCGACGATATTTCCCTCGTATATATGCCTTGTACCTAAACGTTTCGATATATACACAGAGAGTTACACGATACATTGTTCCCTAAGCGTAACAAGCTTCAAGAGGACAGCGAAACTTCCAAACAGCCGCGAGAGTACGAACGTTCGAGTAAACGTGCAGAAAAATGAATCGAAGGTGGAGTTCGAAGGTTCGTATCTCGGTACGAAAACTCAAAGCCTGTCGCTTTTAATCGTGCCATGTTTCTTTCGACGAAGATGCACTATCCGGCACGAGCGTTCAATTATCGTTAAATGTTTCCTCACGCTATCGGTGGATCGTCGTCGTCGTCGTCGTCTCTCGTCACTAGGACGTTACCGTAACGATTCGGACGAAACAGCCGAAATCGTTGCAGCCACTTGTACCGTCTCGCGCCAAGGTACAGCAAGACACCGATTACTACGAGGAAGGTTGGTATTAACAAACCAGCAGCTACAGAACTACCTAAACAAAATTCAAAAAAAGAATTACGATCCAGCGGCATGATGCATGCACAGCGAGCCACAGCTGCTTAGAGCGCTACTTTTTCGCGATAACTTCGTATCTACGAATGAATGAACTATAACAGCTACCGTTATCGGTCGAACCGAATGCTCAGCGAAAATTTATCTATAGCAATCTATCGTGGAAAATTTTCCTTCGCATCACGATTATGAACATCGCAGAAATATTGTACCTCCCGAGTCAACTTGGACGTCAGGTTGAACCATGGTGGGTACAACGACTGTGGGTGCAATGAGGGTACAGAGATTGTTCTTCAGCTCGTAACCCTTCTGACACATGCACTGCGCTTCCTCGTCCTTTGAATTCTGAAGGCATCTTTCGTTAGGACCACACTGCTCCGACGCATTGTGGATGTTGCACCGTCTGATTTCGCCTGTCCTGTTGCTCGAGGAATCTGGATCAACACGTGAAAACTTTAATTCCGAATTAACAGGTTCCTTCGTGGCTTCGTATATATTAAACTTCGTCGGAGTCGAAATTTGCTTCGTAGCTCTTTACCAGTGGTCACCCTTGCTCGTCGCTAATTTACTCTTTAATCCTCGAGGGGCATTGCATGGAGAAAATGAACGAGTAACGCTGTTCGATCGTTCGATGCTTCGTATCAACGATTGCCTGAATTGATAACGGGGGACCTTTTCTAGTTGATTCGTCTAACCAAGGGTTAATAGATACGGATACGCTAGCCACAAATAGCTAGTAAAGAAACGTGATCGACGGTAGTCGGTACGCACCAGTACGGTAAGGCGGAAATATTGTACTCGCGATTGCGTTCCATGAATTTTTTATCTCTAAGTGGAAACCAGGAAAACTGTACTTTTATCATACTTCGAATTCATTAGCATGCACGTTCGAAGCTCTACATGCGCGTTCGAAGTCAGAGTATCCTACACTAATCCGTTTAAGAATTTATTATTATCGAGTATCTTTATCGGCAATAGTCTTCTTTTGTTTCTCTCGTGTAGAAAGCACAAAGAGTCTGACGTCGAATGTGCGTCGTATCTTTGCGACTCTATCGACACTGGTCGAGATTGGCTGAATCAGTTAATTGAGACGAATTCGTTTTATTCGCTAGAATACAAGGGTTAACTATACGGTGGTTGAGTCAAGCAAATTAAGGGACTTTCTTTCGACTTAAATCGATGATACTGCATTTAATTCGATAAGCCGTTTCTTCGGACAACAAAAGAGGGAACGAAAAAACCATAGGATAACGTTAACTGCAAGAACATCTGTTCGATTTAAGATATCGTTGCTAATACTCTGCAATTAATACGCATCGTTAATGAAGACTGAATTTTTCTCCCGATAACGTCACAGGAGCGAACAATAGAACCTTTCATTCGGTTTCCTTGATGTCCACGCGTGTATCTATTCGACTCGGATTTTTTGTCGCTCTTTTTGTACGCTTTCGACGAAACCGGGACTCGATCGAGAAAAATTGTGTAATCGTATCTTCGATCCAAAGTAGAATATTATACTGTGGTCAGACTACGAAATTACGCAACTATGTGTGTGTTTCTGTGCGAGGAATGTGCGTAGCAACAGCACGCAATTGCAAATAGCAATTATATCATGCGTGAAATGAATTATACCGGTGGACACGGCTGCGTCGGATGATTAACGGAATCGTCACGGGAAATTATTTATTCGCTAAGTTAATTACGCCCGCCAAGAGTAACGAGTTAGCGCGTCAACTACGCGTTAATTACTCCCCCTAGAAACAACGTGTACAAACGTATTTACTCGGTGTTTTCGCGTCTGTGCTCGCTTTTATCTATCGTTCGTTATTCGTTTGTTAAAAGAACGAGAACAAACGCAACGCATTACGCATACGTGAACTTTGTTATCGCGTTGACTCATCTTCTTTAATACGAGCAAAACGAGTACTTTTTTGCTGGAGAGTTGAACGAAAGTAGATCGCCCCGAATAACCTCTACGCTAGACAATGCGAAATATCGTTAATGTATATTTTCCTTATGTAATTGATCGAGTTTCTTAAGAGGCAACGATGGGAAACGCGTGTTACGATTAAATGCAACAGTTTGCTAAGAGGGGAGGCGACGCGCATAGAGCCTACGCGATGAATTTAAAATATACGTACGTATATCTAATGTTGGAAAAGGGGAAAACCGCGCGTCCAACACTTGCGTGGCGATTGATTTTTTGGATGGTATACAAAAACCATATAGCAACCTACGCAAACCGTATCGACGTAAAGCCGAAAAAAACAATAGCCGGGAGACAATACTCGATTTCTGGACCAAAGAGGAGAGAAGAGACGTAAATGGAAAGCGGGAGCGAGAGAATATGAAAGGGGGAAAGAGAAAGAAATAGGGAGAACAAGAGATAGAGAGAGAAACAGAGGGGAAGCAACGAGACCGACAGAGAACAGCGGAAGAAGACTATTGTGGACTTACAGGGGTGACCTCAATGGTTCGGTTCGGTTTGGTTCGGTTGAACGAACCAATTTCGAGCTTATTTGCTACGAAGACGATGTAACATATTGTCAAACGAACTGCAAATTGTATTAGGGAATTCCCGCTTACCTGCGTAACTGAATGGCGCCAGAAAAAGCACTGTCACGATGAGATAACAGAATATATTGACTCGAATGTTTTGCATTTTCCCTTTGTTCCTTCCTTCACGTGCCATCTCTGTCACTGTTTCTCTCTCTCTCTCTCTCTTTCCGTGTATCGTTCGTTTACAGCTCACGATCACATAATAAAGAACGCGGTTATTTCAGGGACACTTAGGGTCGATGCGTTTATACCGCTCTGTAAATGTAATATTGAACGCATAAACGTACACACGACGCGTATTTTCATCGATGCGATCCGCACGATAACCTATAATCGTACCGCGATGGAATCAAGAAGCGCGCGTGTGTCGACTCATCGCCGATCGGCCGGCCGTCACCAGTTTTGACAAATAAATGCTAGGCCGCGCCGCGGAACGCGTTCAATCATCTGTTATTAAACGACCATTTGCAATTATCGAACTCAATTGGCATCGAGAGATCGCTGGCAATATTTCGATTTCGAGATGCGTCGAGAATGACGGCGGGGGCGCAACGCGCATGCGCAACGAAACACGCGCGGCAATCAAAACTTTGATCGGACGCTGGTTCTTCAAAATTGTTTTCTATCATTTAATCATCGTCTAGAAAATAGCGCAAGATCGTTATTCGTACAAAAAAATATTTGCAACTAAATTATACATTTTTGTTCACAAAGTTCTAAATATGTCGAGACAAATTTGAATAAGGAAACAAATTGCAAAATAAAGTTTTGTAGAAAAAATAATATTGTTGGGAATTTATAGACACTTGATATATTTTTGCAACAACATTCCCAGGTCAATGATTTATTTGCCACCCCTTAGACCGAGCTAATGTTGGCATCCGACTGGAAATCGATTGGTATATAGGTTATTTTTAAAAAGTAAAACCCCCACTCATTCGAGTTTTCCCAAAAAGTATTCTGCTCGTTGAACTGCATTTATTTCTGTTAACAACCAGCGAAATACGCTACGTGGATCTCTGTGCTTCGAATGTACGATTGCGTGGCAAGTTTTCTGCAATTTGTGGGTAAAAGGTTGAAAAGTTTTTGAACCCACGAGTCTACACGTAGAAGCGGTTGTAACGTACAAGGTGATTCTTTCGCGAGTAGACTTCGGAGAAAGTTCCACCAAACACTGTTTAACTATTCAACAGCGTACCATAAGAAGTCGATATTATATCTCACTAAAGGTTTATCGTATCCGTAACGATTATATTGTATAAAGAAGGTATTTTAGAGAAAAACTGTCAACCGATAATTTTTCTACAGAATCTACTAACGAGAGAATCACCCTGTACATAGAATAGTAGTTCCGATGTCAGCGGCACATGTCATGGCCGAGCGTGTTGTCATAAACCAAAGTTGCTCACAGTGAATAGTCCGCGTTAAATCGAAAGCCATCAATTACAGTATTCAAAATGAGAGAAGAAACGGTGTTGAGCTTAAAGTGGCATAGTTTCCCGTCACATTTAGCGGTTTCTCTCGATACTTGTTACGAGAAGCAACAGTTTGTAGATCTTTCTTTAGTATGCAAAGATGGGACGATTTTGAAATGTCACAAAATGGTACTAGCTAACTCGAGCTCCTTCTTCCGTCGATTGTTAATGGCTAACGAGCATCCTCACCCTATGATTATACTTCACGACATCGAGGCAGATGATCTGAAGACTATTATTAATTTCATGTATTGCGGAGAAATACAAGTGGTCCAAAGTGAGGTTAGAAGACTGCTAAAGTTGGCGGAAATTTTGGAAGTTACCGGATTGCGACATATACAAACATCCGTTTTGGTAGGAGAGTCTAACAATATGTCTTATGAAGCGTCCACTGTATCTCGTTTAAAAATTGAGGAGACTAAAAGTCTATCTACCAAAACAGTACCTGAGCACGATTCTAATACTAGAACACAAAATAAAACGACCTATCAACCAACAAGATTCGCTACTACTGCTCAACCACATAAAGTAGCGAACAAATTACCTTTGGATACTAACAAGAAAAGCAAAGAGAATAATATTAATTTATTGAGTCAACGGCTGGAGACCGGCAGATCCGGAATCAGTATTGTAGACATAAATGATATGCCAAGTACAAGTAAAGGGATTCCTAATCCACCCATCCCAAAAAGGAAAGAAATACCTGATCCAGTTATTAATTGGCCTCGTATTTTATCTGCTATATCAAAAGATAGTCCTTTGCCCTTGAAAAAATTGTGTATAATGGATGAAGTTGAAATTACAGCTGGAAAACCATCGACCATCACTCAAAACATGAAGACAAATGAACCTCTGGATAGAAGGAAAGAAAGCAGCAATTTGGGCCTCAATGAAGATATGAAATGTGGAATTTATATAAAAGACGAAGTAGATCTATCCTTTGAAACTGAAGAAGATACAGAAATGGACCCGTTAGAAGTCGAAGAGGTTGAAAATGATACTTCAGAAAATATTATGGGCCCTTCTCAAGCATACTCTGTTACAAACATGGAACATGCTTATTATAATACTGGAAGTCTTCCAGAATTTCCTACAAGAAAAGGATCTAATGGTTAATAAATAGGATAACTTTCTTTTTTTTTTACTGATAACACTGACTGAATAAAATTTTTCCTGCGCCTACAAATCTTTCTCTAACTTAAAAATACTTTACAAAAATGTAACGACACTCATACATTAATTCATAGTTTGTCACCTTATTCGTTACTTTGTTACGTGATCTGGTTTGTTTTGTAATAAATCAATTCAAACTTGATATTATGTTCTTATTTAATACTTATCCCCATCAACTAGTAAACGTGTTAACTTTTATGTACAATTTGTATTACTGTGTTATGTTTCTATGGAAACCTACAGTGATTAAATAGTCTCTAGTTGGATCAATTTTCTCGATTACGATTTATTTTAAATATTGCGAGAAATATGGAAGAAATAATAAATAACGGTAAAGTACACGACGAATCGGACGGCGAAAAAATTATGAACAATCTATCACCCGATAAACATGTAACAGAAGAAGAATTTGAAAACTTTATGCAACGCGTTAACGAAGTTGGTAAGTACATACTTTATTAAGATCCAGTCAGAACATATGACCTTTTATAATTTTGAAGACAAAATCGTGAAGAAATTAGCGTCGTCCGATCTCGAAGAACAAAAACACGGACAAATATTGGCGGATAAAATGTTAGAGGAGAAACCGACGGATAACTTAAACGAAGATGAATTAAAAGTAAAGGTTGATCGTACAGTAATTAACAAATGCTTAAAAGATGATAATACTACCAATGACCAAATGTCACAAGGTATAATTTATTCTTCTATTTTTTATTCGCACGTTGATTAAAAAAAATTTATTTATACAGAAGCGTTTATGAAAAGTGTAGAAAAGGATGCAAAAAAAAGAGCAGAAAGTCGAAAAATTAGAAATGAGCGAGCGGAAACGTTGAAAAGAATTGGTAATGGAGCATTTAAGGAAGGAAATTATGAAAAGGCTGTAACCTATTACAGCAAAGCACTGGAACAAAGAAAAGATTCATCCGTGTTATGGAATAACAGAGCTTTATCGTATATTCGCCTTGGATTGTTCGAGAAAGCTTTAGCTGACTGTGAATGGGCGTTAAAAGTAAACGACGCGAATTTAAAAGCTCTTCTAAACAGCGCTAAATGTTATAAGAAGCTCGGAAACAATATCAAGTATAAAGAATATATTCGATTAGCAAGAGAAAGAAATCCACACTTCAACAAATTTATTAATGGTATACTTGTAGTTTTCACATTTGAAACATTTCTATTATAATTTTATTTGATCCTTCTTTTTGCAGAATTTGAAGAGAACATGGACAGTTGCATTCATGACCAGGCCTAATCTAACAGCGATAATTGATCGGCAAACAATAGAAATATTTCTCGTGTAGTACGTATGTATTTTTGTTGTAATGATCTAGAATGCATTCGATCTGTATCAAGATGGGCTTATTTTCGTGGCATAGCCTTCTTTAATCTCTGAAAGAGATCTAGGTTCATGCAAAAAAACTGTGCATTCAATACCCTGTAAAAAGTTATTACTAGAGTTATTTGAAACTGCTATGGTTTACAATATAAATACTAGTACCTGCATACGTGCTGCTCTAACAAATCCTTCGTTAGCCGATACCGTGATACTTTTCATATTCTCGCCAGTTGCGAACACCAGTCTAGATCTATCTTTGATTTTACCACCCAAACTTAATTTTTCGACAATTCTGCCGGTGGGTATATCGTTAACGATTCGAACTCTACTCAACAATTCTTTCGCTCTGGCAGTCTCCTTAGGTCCACCGATAACGTCTATGATGTTCATGAAATTTTCGTAAGCAGTTTGGCAGACAATAAGTTCTTTACCTTCAAATATGTTTTCTAAAATTGGTTTCACCGGACGTTTTCTCTCCATTTCTGCTTGTTGCGTAAGTAACGGTTCACGATAAATAAAATGATCATACCCGTTAGTCATATTTGTCACGTATGCTAGTAAAGTTGATACATCCAGATTAAGGATCTTTATTTCAGTCACCAGAGAAGAGATATTAAGAGTGTCTAGATTCGAATTTCTATTCCTTTTGTACTCGTCTAATGATTCTCCATTGAATTCTAACATATGCATCCACGTAGAAAATTTTTCATTTACATCTATCTCAAGAACAACAGACAGAACAATAAATATCTTGCTATAAATTGTAACAATATAAGTATTTGTTAGAAAAAGTTTGTACCATGTATGTCTATGCTTTTTTCTTCCTCGCATGGAATTCTATCTCCTTCAACAATTACTCCCATAAGTTCCAAGCGTGTGGCTAAAGGTATTTCTATGCCATAAGCAAAATGGAATACGATGTCTGGTGGTCTATATAGATATGGATAACATTTTGCGCATTGCAAGTAACTGGATGCTTGATCAAGCACAGATTTCTGGCCATATTCTCCGTTGCCCATAGAGATCAAAGTAAGAGCTCTAGCATTCCTAGCGATAACCTTTACCCACGAAGCTCCACCGTTGCATACTATGTCTACTTCCAGACGTGATTTCTGATATTTAAACGGCTTCATAACATTAGTGGGTTCGTTGGCGCAAAACAAACGTGCAACAATGGCATTTAAATGAATCAAGTTCGTGCTCTGCAGATGTTCTTTCTTCACATTTCCTGTAGATTGTACCTTTGTGAGAATAGTTTATAGTTATAAATCTGATCTCACCGAATAAAGACGTGTACGTAATAGAAAACAATTAAACTATGTAGATGTTTCATCATTTTACAGCTATAAATAAGCGTCGACAGTTACTCAAGAACGTCGCGTTGAAAACGGATCGCGAAAAATAGTTTCCTCTAATTGTCATTCCGACTGCAACGTACCTTTTCTAAAAATCTAATCTCCTGTTGAATTTTTCTTATAAGTTTCTCAACCCCATCGATCTTTCCTACGAGTTTCAGCCGATCTATCGTGGCCTTGCCACTGCAAATTTTTTCCTCCAGACATTTCAAAAGTTCAACCTTTTCCTCCATCCTTCTCGACTAGACGATTCTCGGCAGTCTGGCCATGAAAGATCGTATTTTCTTTGGCAATCCTTATAATTTTTGATAGTTCACGATCGACGAACGTAGTGTCAGCAGCCATGTTGGATTACAGTTCGATATCGCGTAATGTCGTCGAGTCGCTTGTCAAACTCGCCTATTAACCTCACAAACTTTTGTATTTCGACAAATAATTGACAGTCGAATATAATCGATGGATCATATTGGTGTCACGTTTTTGCAAAAAGTGCGAAATACAAGACGACGAGCGCAAAAGTAATTCGCGAGTGTAAAGGAGACGAAAACGAACCCTCGTATCGCGCCGTAATTATCGTACACTGACAAGTTATTCCAGACAATAATAGAAATTATCGTGTATTTATGCTGTAAAATGTCGAGCGCGAAGATCATCGAAAACCCAGAAATACCGGGTGAGTTTCTGCCGATGGGAAACAATTTTCTCCATTGATTCACGTTGTTAGGGACGTGTGTGTGGCTTAGTGAATCTACTAATAACAAAAATCTACGAATTCGTAAATCTTTGCGTACATCTGTCATTACAAGATAATCATTGCATCATTGTCGAAGAATTTGTGAGAAATGTTCAAACGATACGAACGATTTTCAAGAACAACACCGTAAGTGATCGGTACCAAGCTCTCCAGTACAAATAACCGGATACGACTTTTGATACGTCTAAATATCTCCAATCAATTATCAAAATAATTAATCAGAGAACGCACCTGCCACCTTCTACGTTCAACACACGAAACGGAAAGATAAGTTTATTGCGAACCAGTCTGGTGTTTATCGTCAAGTCCCATTCAATATTCGAGCATCGAAATCAGCTGACAGCTCGAAATATAAAATCACGCTCGCGTACTAAGCATGGCTACGATGTCGCTGTCCTTGTTTATAAAGTTGTTTATAAATCGTTCTTTATAAAGTTGCAATTCGACTCGCAATCATCGTCGATAAAAATGTAAACTGTTCCGTTGATTCAGTTACCGTACCGGCACCAGGTTATCACGTGACGTTAATCTTCGCGTTTGCCTCGTAATTGCGGGTGTTAAAACAACTTGTTCGCTACCGAAGCGGAAAGACAGCATCGTCGTTCGCGAAATATATCTCCCGCGTTACCGGTAAAAATGAGGGGCATTATCGGAGACTCTTTCGAAATTAGCGAAACGAGATCAGAGCAAATTGCATCGATTCCCGTCTCCCGCTGGGGGGTATCGTTCGTATTTTATGACCGCGTCTGCAACTTTTTTTCACGTTTTAACCGCGCATTCTTACGCGTGTCTCGAACACGCTTCGACCGTCCGCAGTTTTTATTAGCTTCGTAAATCTAACGCGCAACGCGAACCGTTGCCATCGATTCTCTTCTTGTCGGCTTTAAAAAATGTTTCTTGAAATAACATAAAATTAAGGACAACGTGTCTTTCCCTCTTGTTAGGGAATGTTGAGCACTCGAATAAACTTGGACATGGTTATTTACGTCGTTTCGCGCTTTTTCGTTCAAGCATATCGTATGCGACACAGGTTTGGAATGCTTCTTGCCGCCACCTCCGCCGCCACCTCCCGTGTTACCGAAAAGCGTGCCGGAACAGCAACCGGTAACTACAGAGGCGACAACGACCGGTGAAACCGTGATCAATTTAACCACGGTAGAAACTACACCGTTTCCAAATGTTCCCGTGCCAACACCGTACATCATGCATCCGACGATGCAACCGCAAACACCTGGACAACCGGCTACTCCCTGGTGGTTACCTACGGACGCGGACTCTTCCGATCTCTACGGAAGGTGGTACGAGACGACTTACAAAGCGGCGGCCGCCACGATCGCCACGCCGACGATACAAGTGACCGGCAAAGCCAAGAACAAATATTACAAACGCAAGAACGAGTTAATCGATCCGGCGCAGGACGCAGGTAATCGGAGAAGTTTTTGGGTACGATTTTCTTTCAAACGCTCGCAAAGTACTTTACGCAAGATTCTTGCTATATTATCACGGTGAAATATCAGAATATTCCCGTGGCAGTTTAGCTAATTAAAGATTGATTTATGTTTCTATTTCGCAGAGAAAGTCGCGAGCGCCCAGAGGGAACTGTCGGCACTAATGAAACCGCTGAAATGCGATCTATGCAACGCAGTTGTAAGGCTCGATTACTTTATCCGATAAAAATACACACAAACGCGCGAACGGTATCTGACGTTTGAATATCGCGATCGTAACCGTGGCTCAGCTTAAACACGAACGATTTCAGATGAACTCGACGCTGCAGGCGAAGTTGCATTACGACGGAAAACCGCACCAGAAGAAGGTGTCCATGTTCCTCAACCAAAGCGTGAAGAAACAGAAAACCGAGGACGGGCAAGTCAGTAGCACGACCAACGACTGGCAAAATTACTGCGACGTAAGAGATTCTCTCAATCAATTATTAAGAGATCGATAGCAGGACCTTAATTGTTCTATTTGCAGATTTGTAAAACGTGGTTCACGTCGCAAACGGACGCGACGCAACACTATGCCGGCAAAAAGCATATCAGAGCAGCGAACGGTGGACGACGATCGAGGTACAAAGACGCATACTTGTCGCTAATTATTGTATCTTATAGAAAAGATAGGTAGCTGTGTCAGCCGCGAGTTCTTCATACGAGAGCGTTGAATTCTGCAGGCCGTCGAAGAAGTCGCAAAATCAAAATCAGTACAGTCAAATAGATCCTACCAACCGATTCGGGATAGGATTGGCTTTTCAGGCTGAAACGCAATCCACGACTGCACCCGTGCAACCGGTTGTACCAGAAGGTGCCATGTCGCAAACGGTACCGACCACGGTAGCACCGGGGGCAGGCGTGGGACCAGGAGTAGCAGCAGGAGTAACGGGAGGAGGAACCATTTATACACCACCAACTTACCCCACACCGCTACGTTGCGATTTGTGCGGGGTTTCCGCCAACCGACAAGATCAATTGGAAACGCACAAGCGTGGTGCCAGACATCTGAGGATGCTCAGATTGAACGGGTTACCTGTACCCGAACCTGGTAAGAATTCGGAACGAACGTTACCCGAGCAGATTCGTTTTTGGGTACGATTTTCTTTCAAACGCTCGCAAAGTACTTTACGCAAGATTCTTGCTATATTATCACGGTGAAATATCAGAATATTCCCGTGGCAGTTTAGCTAATTAAAGATTGATTTATGTTTCTATTTCGCAGAGAAAGTCGCGAGCGCCCAGAGGGAACTGTCGGCACTAATGAAACCGCTGAAATGCGATCTATGCAACGCAGTTGTAAGGCTCGATTACTTTATCCGATAAAAATACACACAAACGCGCGAACGGTATCTGACGTTTGAATATCGCGATCGTAACCGTGGCTCAGCTTAAACACGAACGATTTCAGATGAACTCGACGCTGCAGGCGAAGTTGCATTACGACGGAAAACCGCACCAGAAGAAGGTGTCCATGTTCCTCAACCAAAGCGTGAAGAAACAGAAAACCGAGGACGGGCAAGTCAGTAGCACGACCAACGACTGGCAAAATTACTGCGACGTAAGAGATTCTCTCAATCAATTATTAAGAGATCGATAGCAGGACCTTAATTGTTCTATTTGCAGATTTGTAAAACGTGGTTCACGTCGCAAACGGACGCGACGCAACACTATGCCGGCAAAAAGCATATCAGAGCAGCGAACGGTGGACGACGATCGAGGTACAAAGACGCATACTTGTCGCTAATTATTGTATCTTATAGAAAAGATAGGTAGCTGTGTCAGCCGCGAGTTCTTCATACGAGAGCGTTGAATTCTGCAGGCCGTCGAAGAAGTCGCAAAATCAAAATCAGTACAGTCAAATAGATCCTACCAACCGATTCGGGATAGGATTGGCTTTTCAGGCTGAAACGCAATCCACGACTGCACCCGTGCAACCGGTTGTACCAGAAGGTGCCATGTCGCAAACGGTACCGACCACGGTAGCACCGGGGGCAGGCGTGGGACCAGGAGTAGCAGCAGGAGTAACGGGAGGAGGAACCATTTATACACCACCAACTTACCCCACACCGCTACGTTGCGATTTGTGCGGGGTTTCCGCCAACCGACAAGATCAATTGGAAACGCACAAGCGTGGTGCCAGACATCTGAGGATGCTCAGATTGAACGGGTTACCTGTACCCGAACCTGGTAAGAATTCGGAACGAACGTTACCCGAGCAGATTCTTATTACGAAAATGTTTCAGGAGTCGAGAACGAAACCACTCCTGCCACTCCTGGACCTATAGATTATTCCATCTACAGGACACCCTCGGGTAAGGAGGCGACATCGGTATCGCTGTTGATCTTGTCTAAAGGAATATTCTGCTTGCAGGCCAGTATTATTGCGCGCCGTGCAATTTGTCGTTAAACTCCGAGAGCACGTTCGCTCAGCACGTGGAGAGCAAGAAACACAAGAACCAGTCGAATCCAAAATCTCCGTCGAATTCGGCGGTGGCGTCGAAGAAGGCCAGATCGAAGAAGAAATAAAACCGCGGGTCCGTGATGCGCGCATCGCGTAGACGCTCTGTACATTATAATTCTTCGTCTGTCCATTGTTTTCACCGAAATTTGTCTCTCTTTTCCCGTTATCATCGCGGATGTAACGTCGTTGTATCGAGGCGACGCACGATGTTCCGTGCGATGAGAAATAAAACTCTTGTTCGATATGGAAGCGTGTGATCGTTCGCGAACTATCTTTTCGCGCTGAAGTTTTTCGGCCGGCCGGGAAATGGCCGCGAGACGGTAAGAGATTATTACGCGAAGATAGATCCGATCGTCGCGCGACTGATGAGAAAGATAAGTCTGTTAGGACGCGAGCATATTTAAATTAAATACCGATTAACTGTAAATTCGATTTGCAGTAAACTCGAGGACGGTTATTTAGACGGTAGCTCGTTAACCGTCTCGAAGGCAGCGCGACTAATCGGCCACATTTATTCAATTACGAAACCATTAGCTCGAACGCTCCTCCTGAGCCGCTCGATTCGCGAAATCGTACGCGCCTACCTATACGCCGTTCGTTTACGCTCGTTTAACGCGCGTCCACGTGAAATTTATGCGACGTTCGCTCTCTCGACCTTCCACGGAATTTATGACCGAACAGACGAGCCGTACCAAACTTCTCCTCTATTAATTACCTCTTGAGGACACGTATGACGGATCAACGTTTTCAGCCAGTTTTTACGCCGTCGAACGAACACGTTCTTCGACGATCGAATAAAAACGTCCGAGAGCAAAAAAATGATGCATTTCGATCGCGCATAAATAAATCGCTCGATATCGCGTTTAGAAAGGAACGACGTTATTGGTCGTCGAATCTCGCGCGACGAGGAAAGAGACTCTCGGTTAAAAAACACCTCGAAGCTATTAAAAGACGAGCAAAAATGCATCCCTCCGATTCTTTCGCTCCGTGAAGCCTGCATTCCGCTGATTTTCTAACGAACTCACGCCACGGCAATTTAGCCGGCCAACTATTTCCTTCTAGAGCTTCTTTTTAGCTTTCCGTCTTGGAGCTTCGACTCCCGCTACTCCGGCAACGACTAGAGATTAGGATCGAGTCCTCGCACGAGAACTCGTAGATCGTTACTTTATACCTGCGCTTCGGATTTTTATGACCCCTCGGTTCCACGTTCGACGAGTTCCCTTCTTTTTATTTCCCTCGCCTCCCACTCTTCGTCCTATCGCTAAAATCCCTTTTCCATCTTTCCGTGTTCTCCTACGCTGTCCCTCGTACGCTACCATTCTTTTCCCGAATTGACGATCTCGCGAGATAAGCCGAGCATCGGAAACGAAAGAAAAACGTGTAAGACAGTGACAAAGGTAACGCGGACGAGAAGGAAGGAGAGGAATCGATTCGCTACGCGGCCAAGCGTAATGCGCGTAAAAACTTATTAATCACCGCGCGTCCGCTCTGAAATTCGATGAAATTCCTCCCGATGACTGGTGAGAACTTCCAAGAACCTTCGAATTGAGGCTCGTGTACGCTCGAACTTGCTCGCATCGACGGCACTGTGACGAAACAGAGCAAACGATCGATCCCCGTTCAAGCTTGACTCCACGATTAGATCTCTTTTTTTCATCAAAAAGAAAAGAAACCATCGACCTCGTAATTTATCTCGGACGATAGCGTTGAAATAAATTAGCCGTATAGAAACGCGTAAAAGACGAGGGGGACACGGTAACGCTCACGATCGTCGCTATTTACGAAGCTATTCGCGCGGAATTCCTCTTCCATGGTCGCGCTGATCCACTTTATTAACGAAACGCGTCGATCGGTGGATCGTCTCGGATGCCAGGCGCAAAGTCGTCGAACGAGCAAATCGATCGCCTCGAGGCGATTCGAGAGCCGAAGAACGCGTGAAGATTTGTAAGTCGAAAGGTGGGAAACGCGCCGATGATTTTAATGGATCGAGCGATTCTAATGGATTCGTGGTCAAAGCCGTCGACTCGAGACGCCGACAAATTTTCTTTTCACGCGAACGTTCGTTTCTAATTCCGCTAACGAACGGCTAACTTAGTTAGCGCGAGAAACGGTACCGGTGTGGAGCAAGAGCAGCCGTTCCTTTGTCTCGCCGAATCCATTGTTCCAGCCGGAGAGTATGAATCGGGAAAAAAACAGCTCGTGGAAGAGAGGCGAACGAACGCGAAAGGATTTTTTTTCTGTCCCGTTCGCCAGCCCTCGGACAAATTCGTACAATTATTTGTCGATTAGGAGCGAACGGTTGGCCGGCGAGAGGAACCGGGGCCCAGATTGCCGGCTCGTGTGCTGCGCGAAATAGCGGCGAAAAAGAGAACGCGCGTGCTTTGCGGTGTGCCAGCGGCCTAATCGCGGAAATTTCGCGGCAGGACGCGACCGCTTTAATAAGGAGTTTTTGCGAAAAGGTTTCTAGAAACAGGGGACGACAGTTGGCGCGACGAAGGAACAGCGGCAGAAGACGGAACGACGAGGAGGAGAAGAAGAAGAATAAAAAGCGTTGCGTGGCGCATCTCGACGGGGCTGACCTTGCAGGTCTTCGCGGGCCACCAATGTAGACCGACGAGAAAATAGAAAATCGTGCTGCTCCTAAATGCGGGCGGTGTGATGTCATGCGGAAATAGCCGTCTGCCTATGCTCCCTGCCGACGCGACCACGGCGAAAGGGGAACCAGAGGGGTCGAGAGGGGGCTTCTTGATCGTTCGACCGATTACCTCGTCACTCGGCTTCCAAGGAGACTCGATAGACCATAGACGCTACACGGTTTTTGCCTTTCCGATCAAACAACGAACGCGAAAGTTCATTCGCGAAAGATCTACCCCATTTTTCGCTCGATCGTGCTTTCCGCGCGTTTTAAGCGCCGTCGACTTTAGATTTTGGATAACTCGTCGTTTATGGACGCGGCCGATTACCGAGTCGGAGTATTTCGTACTCCGATATTCGCGGGTGCTCGTTAATGTCGCTCGCGTGAATTAATTTCTTACTTTTAATGGAACCTCGCCGCGGGCGAGGACAACGGAATTATCGATACAGCCGATAACGGAAAAGGTACGGGACGGGTCGACGCTACGATGGCTCGCGGAAGCGGGAAATGTCGTAAAAAGAAATGATCGTACTTACCGCTAAAAATCGTACGGCTGAATCGCGCTTAACGTACCTTGGGCTGTCGTCTAACTCCAGGGGGGTCTCCGATCGAACGAGATAAAACTGTTTACAGGATCGCAGAGATAACGATTACCCTGGTAATGGGTCCCCTTTGAACGGCACCTCGTCCTCTCGTAATCTTCCAACACACTGTCACATCGATTATCACTGATCACGAAAATAATGTTAATACGCGTTTTTCTTTATCGCGATTAAGTTTCCGACGCGATCGAATCGCATACTTGACAAATTTCTTTGATCGTTCACCACCGTTCGTTCGGAAAACACAGTCTCGAACCACCCCGTGACTTTAAAGCTAATTATTCGACGAGAAACGCATGCACTCGCGTATAAACACTCACACGCACTCCCGGCATCGATAAGCAACTTTCGATAATCACTCGCGATAATTTGTTCCGTCATGTCGAGCAAAAATACGGAAAAACGTAAACGAGAACTAGGAGCAGCGCGAGTCTCCCGCGGACGGAACCGCGATTTGCAAGAAATTACCCACAATGCATCGCAAATTCATCACGTGATTTCAAGTTTCAAGAAATTACCCAGGATGCGTTTCAAATTGATCACGTGGTTTCGAGTTTCAAGAAATTACCCAGAATGCATTGCGCGGGAGTTTTGAAAAGATGACACGGATTACATTTAACAATCGTGTTTAATGATCGTACTTTACAATTGACTGCGATTTTGTTTTCGTACCAGATTTGACGCATAATACTTTCGAACGAGAGAATCGGTTCGAATAATTCGAGTATTTTTAAAGCTCACTGAGCGGCGAAGGTGGCGAATCTGCGGTAAGTAAAGACGGGACGCCGCGAGCGATTTTCGAAAGGAGAGGAAAGTCAAGGAGAAGAAGAGCGAAACCGATATCGAAGAAGAATTTTTCGTCGCGATAAGCGCCGACGAAAGTCATCGAGAATAAAAGTCCATAGCATCGCGGACGCGTGCGAGAACGGCCGCTGTCATGCTACCGGCACGATTGCGCATGCGCGCGGGTACACTTGACAGGCTCAAAAAATCAATGACCCCGCTCCATCGCGCGTTCGTTCGCGTCTTTTTCTCTACGATTTAAGAAGTTCGAGGGTGAGAACGACGATCGCCCGAAGGGAATATCGAGGCTCGAGGAAGCGATCGGCTTGGACGAGAAGGAAATACGGAGATACGAAGAAGTAAGAAAGGATCGAAGAAAATGGACGGTGAGGGTGCAGCCCCGATGGTGGCGCTAGTGTAAAACGACCGAATAGCGGTTCGGTGAAACCAGCCGAGCGAGCTCGGCTCGTTTCGACTCA